ATTTTTGTGGTTTTTATATACAAAATTATATTGTCTTATTTGTTTCTTTCCTTATTTTTTCCTTGGATTTGAGTTTACAAGACCCCAATTTCATTTTTTGTAGGTCAAAATCCAACTTTTACCCCCTTCATTGCCTCCACAGCATTATGGTCCCCATTGGTAGAGGTAATTGAGATTTTTGTGGTTTTTATATACAAAATTATATTGTCTTATTTGTATATTAGTGTAGATTATTACTATTATTGCATGAATTGTCAGTAAATTGCTATTATTTCTTTCAAGTTTTTGAGATTGAAATTTGTACGTTAATTACTTGCTTGAAGAGTTTTTTTTAGTAAATTTGTATATACAAAGTTATGGATTTTAGATTATTAAATTTGAGATTAAGATTGAGATTGATATTGAGATTGAGGTCTAAATATCTTGAAATAGAGTGATATTTATATTGAATTTCTATAGTTACAAATTTGTTTTTTATTTCAAATTAGCTCAATTTGAGAGATTGATATTGAGATTAGGATGTGCATTATTATTGAACTAAAATGATATTTAGATTGATATATATCAAATTTTTTATTCAAATTATTAAGATTAAAATCGGTATGATAATTAAACTAGAGTATTATTTGTATTTAATATATATATTTATAAAGTTACTAAATTATTTATATTGAGATTAATATATGTATGATTGTTGAAATATAGTAGTATTTTTATATATTGAATTTATATACATAAAGAAATTTAATTTAAAATTATTAAGATTAAGATTGACATGTGTGGTTATTGACATGTATGGTTATTAGTTGATATGTTAATATACTTTGTCAAATTGAAATTCAAATTAGGTAATTAAATGATGGATGACTGTAGTTGGATAGATTGTCGTGTAGATGATAGTGGTTTTGTTACCAATGAATTTAAAGAGGTGGTGCAATTTTTTGTGAGATTTGCATTTTCAAGACTGAAAACAAAATCAAAGACTAAGTGTCCTTGTTCGAAATGTAAATGTAGAAAATGGGGGAATCCTGAGGTTGTCTCTATGCATTTGTATAAGCATGCGTTTATGAATAACTATTATACATGGTATGTTCATGGAGAGACATCTAGCAATACAGTAAGAAACTTTGAAGGGGAATCTTCTAATATGGAGTTTGTTAGAAATGAGGTAGATGCATTATACCATGAAATGGTAGTTGATGCAATGGGTGAAAAGTCTGAATACAATGAGGGGCCAATGGCTGAGAATGGTAGTTGATGCAATGGTAGAGAATTTTATGATCTATTGCATGCTGTAGAAGTTCATATGGGTGTTGGGGGACAGGATGTTATAATACTTTCATGGATGGCAGAAATGCTAAACATGAAAACTCTTTATACTATGAGTGCTGCTAATTGGGATATGACATTGTCATTGAGTCGAAAGTTGTTGAGTCCAGAGGACCAAGAAAAGGTGCCAAAGGATTTATATAGTGCTAAAAAAATGATAAATGTGCTTGGACTTGGGTACAAGAAAATTGATATTTGTGTCAATGATTGCTTCTTGTAGTATGATGAGCAAAGTAAGAATTTAACTGCTTGTTTAGTGTGTGGAGAATCCCATTATGAGCCGAGGAATATGTCTATTATAAGGCAGAAAGATGTTTCAAGGAAATCTTTGTGGTACCTTCCAATTAGCCCAAGATTGTAGTGACTATACATGTCTAGGAAAACAGCAGAGCACATGACATGGCATTTGAAATGCCATGAGGATGCGGATGAAGTTATTCATCTTGCGAATAGTGAGGCATGGAAACACTTTGATGAAACCCACCCAACAATTGCTGATGAACCTAGAAATGTTAGACTTGGCCTCTGTATAGATGGTTTTAATCCATTTGGTTGCTCTGCAACACCTTACTCTTGTTGACCTATTTTTCTTATAGTGTACAACCTTCCTCTTGAATTGTGTATGGAGTCAGAGCATATATTTCTTGCCATGATAATTGCTGGACCTAAAAGTCCAAGAAAAAACATTGATGTCATGCTTAGGCCATTAATTGATGAACTTAAGGAATTGTGGAAAAATGAGGTTGAAACTTATGATAGTTTCAGACAACAGAATTTTATCATGAAAGTTGCATTGCTATGAACTATAAGTGATTTTCCAAGTTATGGCATGTTATATGGATGGAGCACACATGGGAAGTTGTCATGCCCTTATTGCATGGAGAAAACTAAGGTTTTTCAACTTCAATATGGGAGGAAAACATCATTTTTTGATTGTCATCGTCAATTTCTACCTCTTAAACATCCATTTCGTTGAGATAAGAAAAATTTTTATCTCAATAGAGTTGAAAAAAGCCATCCCCCCCCCCCAAGACTATATGGTACTTTGATGGAAGAAAGGGTTAATCAGCTCCCTAACATAGTCTTTGGCCAGTCACTTCGTAAACATTCAATTGCAGGATTTGGTGTTTTTCATAATTGGGTGAAATGTGGTATATTTTGGGAATTGCCATACTAGAAGGATTTATTGATTCGTCATAACTTTGATGCCATGCATTGTGAGAAGAATTGTTTTAGATAACATTAAAAATACTATAATGGATGACAAGGGTTGTACGAAGGATAACACCAATGCTAGATTGGATTTACAACTATGTTGCAATAGATCTGAATTAGAATTGATACCTCAAGATGATGGAACAGCTATAAAACCCAATGCTACATATGTTCTTACTCGAGAGCAACGAGCTCTTATCTGCCAGTGGCTGAAGGAATTGAGATTCCCATATGGGTATGCATCTAACATAGCATGATGTGTTAACATGCAGGAATTTCGATTGTTGGGGATGAAAAGCCATGATTATCATGTATTCATGTAGCGTCTCTTACCAATTGCTTTCCATGATTTCCTCATAGATGAAGTTTGGGGTCCCTTAACTGAGATTAGTAACTTTTTTAGAGCTTTAATAGCTCCAATTATTCAAGTCAGTAACATGGAGATGTGGGAGGAAAAAATTGTTGAGACTTGCAAGCTAGAGAAAGTATTCTCGCCAGCATTCTTTGACTCAATGGAGCATTTGGCTATCCATCTACCATATGTCGCAAAAGTTGGAGGACCTGTCCAATTTCGTTGGATGTATCCTTTTGAAAGGTATATTTCTTTTAATATATCTTTGCATCACAATAACATTCATGAGCATATTTAATAATTTAATAATTTAATGTTATTAATTAATTTTCTTATTTGTTTAACAGAAAAATGCATGACCTTAAGAAAACAGTGTTGAACAAAAATTGTGTTAAAACTTTAATTTGCAAGTCTAATATTCTTTCAGAAATTACCTTCTTTTGCTCACATTATTTTGGATCTGACATAGAGACAAGATTGAATCGTCAACCAAGAAACATTGTTGGCGTGAATGCTAATATGGATAATTGTTTGTCTGTCTTTAAACATCGAGGTCAACCATTAGATGGAGAAATGTGTATGCGTGCACTATCACCCAAAGAATTGAAGGCAACAGAACTTTATGTTTTGCTTAATTGTGAAGAAGTTAATCCATGGATTGCGTATGTTCTCTAGTTCTAACTTTCATTTGTTTAAGTTACTAGTATGTTTAGATTGTTTACTCCAACTTCTTCATGTAGGCTTTTCGATTATCAAGTATGTTCCGGTCTATCAGAGGATTAAATTCAAATCAAATAGCAACTTGAATTTAATCCTTGGTTTAAAACAACGGTAAGTAATTTATTTTAATGATTTTTATTAGTAAGATCTCAATTTTTATATGTTTTAGGATTAAATATTAAATATTTTTATAACAAATCTAGGTGCATAGTGGAAGATATGTGGTTGATTCTCGCCTTTTGCCTTTAGTAACTAGCCCAGTCAATAACATTAGGATATACAATGGTTATTGGGTTAATGGATTTCGGTTTCATACTATCGCATATGGACAAAATAAAAAGACCATGAACAGCGGTGTTTGTGTGAAGGGAACCACTTTCAATGATGAGTCAAATTATATGGGAGTTTGAAGGAAATAATTGAGCTTCAATATTTTGAATCATATGTTCATCAATAAGTGATTTTGTTCAAGTATGAGTGGTACGATATCAACAAAGGCATTGTGGTCCATCCGACATCTGGTATAGTTGACATAAATCCTCGGTTTAAATTACAAATAGATGAACCATTCATATTGGCCAGTCAAGCTCAACAAGTGTTTTATGCCCTTTACCCATCTCAAAATCCTTATAGAAAAGGGTGGTTTGCTGCATGTAAGATTAGAGCAAGAGCAATAATTGACACTTCATCATTAAATGATGGTGGCAATGTTTATTATCAAGACGATGATCCTCTTATGCCACAATTGGTGCAACCCTCAATTGTTTTAAATGATCATGTTTCACTAGCATCTCAAGGGAGAGAACAAATGGTGATTAGTGAGGTCATGCAATTGCCATATGTGGCAAAGGAAGAATGTGTGGGTGAGGATGATGATGAAGAGGAAGAGTTTGATGGAACGGAAACATCGAAAGAAGAAGTTCCAAATTACTTAACCGAGAGTGATAGTGACTAAATGTATCTTATTTGATTTTTTTAATTAATTGAACAAGGGATGAAGGACTACTTATATTTTCTTTAGGTTAAATACCCTTTTTGGTCCCTCTACTATAGGAAAAAGCCCATTTTTAGTCCCTGTACCAAAAAAATCCCCTTTTTGGTTCTTAAATTTCAAAATCTGGCCTCTTTTTAGTCCTTCCGTTAAATTTTGGCTGATGTGGCAAGTTAATTAACGAAAAATTTTATTTTATTTTTTACTTAGATTACGTGGAAAATTCATTTCACAAAAGTTAATGACATGGATAATTTTTTTTACCTTTAATTACTTATTTACCCCATCTTCTTCCCCATCCTTTCCTTTCTCCGATGATAAAAACTATCAACAATTTCACCTGCACCTCTCTTCTCTTTAGTGCTTTCCATGTAGACTACGTCTCCTCCCAAGTAACAATTATCATTGCCTGCAAAAACAAAATCAACAAAACCCATAGCCTGTCAAAGCTCCGAAACACATTCCAAAATGACCTCTAGTCCACAAACCCCATCTTTCCCACTTTATTGTTCTTGTTAGCTGTATAGAGAAAGTTGCTCTACATGTCGATTGGCCACTTCAGACTCCTAAAACACCTTTTGCTCGAGAAATACTCATTAATGTCATCGTAGTTCCTCCAAGCAAAATGCGATGCAGTTCTGTTTTGATTGTCCTCCACTTCCTTCCTTATCGTTTCGTAAAACAGCATCATTATGTTCTTCAAGAAACCACAATCCACAGAACTTGAGGGCACAAATGGCATCCTCGTGTAATCATCGATGCAATTATCCAGAATTTTGTTTAACTCCATTGCCATGTGGTTGTATATATAGCAGATGCATTCTGGCATGAAGCGGAGGTTTGCAAATTCTCCCCAAGAACCCACGACGAACCCAAGCACCTAGGTTCATCGCGAACCCAGGAACCCACGACGAACCCAGAAGCCTGGGTTCGCAATGAACCCAGAAGCCTGGGTTCGCAATGAACCCAGAAGCCTGGGTTCGCAATGAACCCAGAAGCCTGGGTTCGCAATGAACCCAACTGGTGGGTTCACGACGAACCCAGGCGCCTGGGTTCATCGCGAACCTAGGAACCCACGACAAACCTAGGAGCCTGGGTTCGCAACGAACCCAAGCGCTTGGGTTCATCGTGAACCCAGGAACCCACGATGAACCCAGGCGCTTAGGTTCAAAACCCAGCTCCTGGGTTTGCCTGGAGGTAAAAGAAAAAAAAAAAAGAAAAAAAAAAACGGAGAAAGGAAAGGATGGAGAAAAAGATAAGACGAACCCAGGCTCCTGGGTTTGTCGTGAACCCAGGAACCCACGATGAACCCAGGCGCTTGGGTTCAGAACCCAGCTCCTGGGTTTTCCTGGAGGTAAAAGAAAAAAAAAAAAGAAAAAACAAACGAAGAAAGGAAAGGATGGAGAAGAAGATAAGGGTATATAAGTAATAAAAAGTAAAAAAAGTTAGGCTTGTCATCGACTTTTATGAAGTGGATTTTCCATGTAATCTAGGTAAAAAATAAAATAAAATATTCCGTTAATTAACTTGCCACATCACACAAAATTTAACGGAATGACTAAAAAGGGGCCGGATTTTAAATTTTAAGGACCAAAAAGAGGATTTTTTCGGTATAGGGACTAAAAAGTGGCTTTTTCCTATAGTAGAGGGACCAAAAAAGGTATTTAACCTTTTCTTTATTATGTGTTTCCATTAATGATTTTATATTTATTTTTATATCAATATGTCTGCTATAATTCTTTATATTGATATTTATAGTGAAGTTATATTTATATATTATTATATTTATATTGATATATATATATATCTATTTACTTATAAATATATATTTCATATCTTTATAGTTATTTATATATATTTAGTTGTATATTGATATTTATATTTTTCATTTTTTTCTCATTTTTTAAATTCTCATTTAATCAAATGTATAATTTTTTTTTTCATATTGTATTAAACTATTGAATTTATTTAATGAATTTGGTTACTATTATATCTTTATCTAATCTAAAAGTTATTAATTGAATATTTTTCTATTCTGTTTTTTTTTTTTATTCTTTAAAATTTTTGCTTTTCTTCATGAAAAGGAAGTTGATGTGTTTCCATTATTTTTTGTATACAGATATGAGACGAGGTACGTGAGGTGCATCTTTTTCTAGACAGTAGGTTGATCTAGAGGGAGAACCATAGAGGCAGAACCATAGAGGCCACTTCGTCGTCTTATTCAGGGGCCTCGTAGGGCTATTCCTACACAGCAGCAACTATCCAACTTGAGCCAACCTCCCGCACAGCAGTAGCTTTCCAGTTTGACTTAGCTTCCCACACAGTTGCAACAAGAGCAACCCACTGTTATTCAGCCACCATTGGACGATGACTAGTACACTGGTGATAATGCGATAATGGAGGAGGACATTGAAGAGTGTAATTTGGAGGCTAAGTTGGATGTTGAATTTGCTGTGCTTGATCCTGAGTTAGATGTTCAGCTGAAGGAGGAGATATCACGTGCTGTCTCGAAGATAGGGCATGGCATGGATAAAGGAGATGACGCTCTTGTAAACTTGAGTCAAAGAAAGGTGCTTAGCCTTAATCACCGAGGCACATTCAGCCATGAGAGGTTTGGGAGGACTGCCACAGTAATTTGAAAGTACTTGTATGATGAGCAAGTGCTTTTTTGGTCTAATTGGCCTGAGGAAAAGAAGAGAGTTGCTTGGGAGAATTTCAAGGTATGAAATTATAGAATAAAATGAAGTATTTTTTGAGAATTTATTTAGATGCTATCAATTTATTTTATGGCATTTGATATGGAAGTACAAGGTATATTTTATATGATTTTTTTGTATTTTATTTATTAATAGTGAAAAAAAATGATCATTTAAACAAAACTTTGCTCTTTTTTTAAGAAAAATCAAATAAATTATTAACATTTAATTATTTTTTTTATTGCAGAGGACCTATTATTGGGAAGAAGATGATGCTTGTGTGTATAAAATTTGGAGATTACATTGTCGGAACTGTGTCCGAGATGAGCTTCATCGAGCTTGAAAGGCGTGGGTCAAAGACAGGAAGTTGCCTAAGTTCATGCATGAGGATACCTTTAAAATTTTGTTGGCAAAATGGAGGAGTCCAAAATATGTTGCACTCCAAGAAAGAGGTCAGCAAAACCGAGCAAAGGGTGATCGTGTGACCCACAACACTAGATGCCTTTCTATTGGGATCCATAAGGATCGACTGGTTAATAGGATATACTTATATATACATATAAATTATTTTTGTTTACCATAAAAATGGAAATGTTATTGATTTTATTGATGTTTTAATAAGCAGCTAAAAGAGGAGGAGCTAGGCCGACACCTTTAGAGTCGTACTTGTTGACTCACATGACTTGCCGACCTGATGCTCCAGAAGATGCCCCACCCACTTGGATATGTCCACAGGCTGAGCAGACATATGTAAGAATCTTATTCTTTTATGATATTAATTTTATTTATTTTTAATGTCATATTGCCTTAAAAGAAGAAAAGTGATACAATTTTTTATCCATTGTACTTAGTAAATGATTATTTTTCATTTGATTTCCCATTATCATTTGAAATTGCTAACTAATGAAAATTTTATTTTTGAAACAGAACGATGCTCACCAAAAATACGTGGAGAAGCATGGGCCAAACAAGGATTCATGGCTAGAATGGGATCCACTTATCTGGAAGGAGGTGGTTGGACCTCCTAAAAAGGGTCAGATGAGAGGGATGTCTACATTACAAGATCCAACAGAGCATGGCATCCCTTGGCGATAGTATGACATGAGTGATGCCTCCTTTTCTACCACCAGGATTCTTACGACACAAGTCTAGCAGTTGCAGTCTGAGCTTACTCAAGTTTGGGAAGAAATGGCTGAGCAAGTTCAGATAGAGGTGGCCACATGTATTCATACAGAGGTATCACAGAGAGTATTAGAGATGGAGGCCAGCTTTGAGAGGAGATTCCAAGAGCAGATGCGCTTACTTAGCCAGCAATATTCTATGAATGCTACACAACCCCAGACTGGTTATCTTTCTTCTACACCACCCTAGACTGCTGATCCTTCTTTTGGAGGATTTAAACCTGATCACTTACCACCTCCTACTTAGAGACATTGATATTTAAAACTTATATTATATATGTTTATATATATGTACTGCATATGTATATATATGGTGTGTAGGATGAGAAGTTAGTATATATTTATTAACTTAAACTAGTTTTTAGTTATGTAGTATTTGAGTTTAAATAAGTAAAATATATAATATTAATAAAATTTAACAATCCTATAGTAAAAAGAAAATAATTGCAATATAATATTTCGCAAAGAAATAGCATATATATATCTTTATCTAGACTAGAATTTTTATAATTAATTATTAGCTTAAAAAAAATTGATTCTTATTACTTTTAAAACCAAAAATTTTACAAGAAAATTAATAAAAAAAATTCAAAAGAAAAACCAAAAAAAAATTCAACAAAAAAGAAATAATTAGATAAATCAAATTATCAATTAGTTTAAAGAAATAGTATATTTATTTAAATATAAGGATTTAAAAATTTAAAAAAAAAATTAAAAAGAAAAAAAAAACGGAGACTATATTCGACAACCATGTTGGTTGTCGAATATAACCCCACCCCCTACCTTCCCAACAAAAAAAAAAAAAAAAGAATTTCCCAGCAAAAAAAATTTGAATTTCCCGACAAAAAAAAATAAATTTAAAAAGAAAAAAAAAACTGTGACTATATTCGATAGCCATATTGGTTGTCGAATATAACCCCGCCCCCCGCTTCCCTACCAAAAAAAATTGAATTTCCTAGAAAAAATTTGAATTTCCCAACCAAAAAAAATTTTAAAACGAAAAAAAACTGTGACTATATTCGACAGCCGATATGGCTATAGAATATAACTCCACTCCGCGCCTTCCCAGCAAAAAAAATTGAATTTCCCGATTACTTAAATTTTAAACATATTCGATAGAATTTCTGTCGAATATGTTTGACATATAAATACCACTTCGACATCAAAACATCTCATTGTCTTCTAATTTTCATCTTCTTGCCTCTTCCCTTCTCCTTCTCCTTCTCCTTCTCCTTCTCCTTTTTTCCGCAGATAACATCTCTCTTTAAGCTTCTTCTCCTTTTATTTTCATTTTTCTTTTACATTCTCCTCTTTATATTTTCATAAATTACCTTTAATCATCTTCTTTCTTTTCACTCTTCTCTCTTTTTTGTTGAATTCTTATTATTTAATATACTAATAGTTCTTTTTTTTTTCTTTTTTTTCAGATTTTTATACATTGATTATGAAGTAATGTGAGGTAAATTTTGTGATTTGTACTTTTTATCTTCTTTTTTTTTTTTTGAAATTCTTATTACTTTATATACATTTTTTTCTGATATTTTTGGCAAGAACATGAACTTATTTTAAAATAATTAATGTTAATGCTCATTTTAATTTTATTTATGATTATCTATTACTTTTTATATTATTGTTAAAATTGTTTCATAAATATATTGTTAGGAAACTTGATAATTGTGTTCTTTTTATTGATTTTTTCATATAAAATTAACAGAAAATAAAATAAGATTAATTTTGGATTTTGTTGATTTTTCAATTTTTTTTATTTTTCTACCAAGTATATGCTGTCGATTGCTGTTGAATATGGTATCGTAAAAATATATATATATATATTAGACAGCTATTAGCTGTCGAATATAATTTCCAAAAAAAAAAAAACATATTCGACAACTATTAGTTGTCAATTATATAGCTTTAATCGACAGCTAATGGCTGTCGAACATAACCTTCAAAAATTAAAAAATCTTTATCGTCAATGAAATTATGTCGATAATGAGTATATCCGACAGCTAATGTCTGTCGATTAAGATATAATCGACAGAAATACCTCTATATTTGATAGACTTTTCTGTCGAATATACCCCATTTTCCAATAGTGAATGAATTAATGTATATAATATGATAAGTTAATATAAAATTCATCTTTTAATATTTTAAAAAACATGGCTAGGGGTATTTGTATCCAATTCAATCTAATTGATCCGACCTAAAATGACTCAATCCAATAAAAAACCAAACTAAATCAATATAAAATTGGGTTGGTTTGAATTATAAAATTTTAAAATTGATATAATTGGTTTGGTTTGTGATTTTAAAATCACAAATCGTTCGAATCGCCTAATTACAAAAATAAAATCCAATTATAAAATAATTTAATTAAATAATATAATATATTTTTTTAGTATTTTAAATTTTTTTTTCTTATTTTACAAGATAATAACTCTATTAACTTAATTAAAAAATAAAAATAAAACATCCACATATTCCTTAATTTTTTTTCTTAATTCTTCATTCTAACCTTAATTCTAAATTTATAATTCACATGCAACTTTATCTCTTGAAACTGGTTTGTGACTCTATGTTTTAGAACTCTAAATTTCTAATTTGTTCCTAAAATAATATTCTAATTCTCCAAACTAAGTTTTAAAGAAGTATTATACTAGAAGTTTTAAAATTATATAATAACTAGTTTTAATATTCTACTATTTTTAGATGTTTCGTTGAGAAGTTTTAAATTTCCATTATGAATGCTTCTAATTAATCCTAATGATATTCATATTAAATTTTATTCGTTTTTAACATGGTTTAGAAAATGGGATTGAATCATTGGTGCATTAAGAAAACAAATTAATTTTAACCTTTAACAATTATTTGCAAAGTACTTGAAACTTTGAGTAATCTTTTATTGTTTCTGGTGCTTCTTGTGATGTAGTCAAAAAGATTTTTCAAATCTTTTCAACCTTTACAATTGTAAAGGAGTATAAGAATTTGTTTATTATTTGTTTATAATTTGTGCTTTTTATTATGTTTCTACTGATATGAATGTTAATATATTTTATAGTTATATTTTCTACTAGCTTGATGTTAAAATTTTTTACATTATCTTATATATTTAATAGTGTTAAAAACTAATGAATTTGACCAAACCTCACCAATTCAATTTAAGTTGAATTAGGTTGATTATATATAATAGTAGATTGAATTGATTTAAAAATTTTGCTAACCAATTAAATTAGATTGGTTTAAAAAATATTAAAATCTAAACCAAATCATACCGTAAACATCTCTAGATGTGGCTTATACCATGTCATTGGACTCAAATTTTGACCCCAAAATTTTCATTCTATTTATCATTCGGACAAAATTTTAGAACAAATGACATAACATAAATCATATCTTTTAAAATATTAAAATATAGATGTTATATTATTTAATAATTAATTTTTTTATTTTACTAAAACCTATAATATTATGTGTATTAACATATTTAATAATATAACTTAGGATATATCATTGGTTCAAATTTTCTCTATATCACCACTCAAACTTTTAAAAATGATTTTCTTTTTTATTAATGGCTATAAAAGTGTTCCCAACAGAAAAATGCCCCCTTACGAACTTATAGAACGTGTAAAGGGCTTGCCACGGAACCCTATAAAAAGACAGCGTTGGTGTTGTCAATCACACAAGGGCTGATTTGCTTCAATATAATGGGTTCAAGGGCTTATATGCTCATCTTTTAGTTTAGGGGCTGGTAACTTATAATTGGTAAAATCTAGGGGCTTAAGAAGGGGTTTTGCCTTTTTAGTATGTTTGGTTTAAAAATATTTTCATTATGGAATTCAATTGGGAATTTATTAAGTAAATTTTTATAGGAATAATTCATCAAATTGTAAAATTCAATTGATTTTCAAAAAGAATTTATATTTGAAATAAATATAGAGTGGGTTTGATACTCAATTCTTCGAAGAATACTCTTTTTTTCTTTTTTTATATTAACATTTCGGTATTCAGTAATTATATTGAATCCCGATTAATTTGAAATCGAGTTGCGTTATATCTTATTAAGGAGGAATTCTCTGAACACTTGTTTCTATATTCACAAAACTCAAATTCAAAATTTTATTTAAGAAAATTCAAGATTTTATTTTAAAAAAATCAAACCCTTTCTAGTCGGATCAATATTTCGAAGAATACTCTTACTATTTGTGAAGGAGAGAGAATTTTAATTTGAGGGTTAGTTTAGTAATTTAAATAATTGAGTTATTGAAAAAAGCGAAGTTTACTTCCAAAATCAGAAAACTGTTTTTCAGTACGAACGGCAAGAGATTACAGTCTGCACTCCAAAAACGACGTCGTTCTTTTTTTAATCTAGAGAAACGCTCATCCCTCTTCCTTAAAAAACCCCTCTGAATTCCTACTCTTTCGAAATCAAAATCAATATGCTCCCTCTTTTCACCATGAAAAATCCTCTCGCCATTGAGCCAATTTGCCATTTTTGATCTTCAAGTTCCTCGCAAGGTCATGTAGATAGTCAAATCCATGGATCTTGGGTGCTTGGACTTAAGTTGCATCTCCGAGTCCAACAAGCAAAACGCCGACGAATTTATTGATTCTCTGAACAAATTAGGAGATTTTAGCAATGGATCTTCGGCGACATGGTCTTCCAAAGTCAGGAAGGTACACTGGAACACAGAATCTTTATTATTTGCATCGTTGATATTGAAGATTTGCTTCTTTTCCTTGATTGGAGTGGTGTGTATTGGTTCAATCAATTAACTGCATCAAGAACTTTCCAAGTCCTTTCCCTTGAACCTAAGAGAGGCTCAAGCTAATTTCATACACGTAAACCACAGCAATCTCCTTCTCAAGAGGAAAAAGATACTGTACAAACCCCACCAGGATTCCTTGTCCCACCTTCATTTACAAATCGAACGCTAGGCGCTCTTTGGTACTGAACAGGTGGGAGAACACCGTTGAGAAGAAATCTAAGAGCGATCGACTGGAAGAAGAGCAATCGTGTTGGAGAAAAGGGATCCAGCCTATCGGATTCGAACAATGAAGAAGAGGATTATGACAGCGAAGAGATTAAGAGTAATAAGGGAATTTTTCCGGATATGAAAAGAACGACGTCGTTTTTGGAGTGCGGATTGTAATTCCTTTACAGTCCATACTGAAAAAGAGTTTTCTGTTTCAAAATTCATCGAAATTGATAGAACTGAACTAGTCTTACCCAATTTCGTGATTTAAAAGTTTAAAATTGAATTCTATATTTCCCACTGAGAGTAAAGGAGCAAATAAGGATTTTAACTTTGCAATTTTTTCTATTTAAGGATGTTAACTTTGATAATTTCTAAATAAAGATGTCAATTTTTAATTTTTTTCTAAATAAAGATGTTAATTTTGTCAGTTTCTAAATAAGGATGTCAACTTTCAACTTTTTTCTATTTAAGAATGTCAACTTTCAACTTTTTCTATTTAAGAATTAATTGAATAGTGATGTTTACGTGGTTAATATATTTTTTAGGTTAAATACCTGAATTGGTCCCTCAACTTTTATTTTTGAACCAATTCATCCTTGAACTTCAGAAAGTACCAAAAATGTCCTTCAACTTCAATTTTTAATAAATAAAATTATTTCTTAATTCATGGAAGAATTAATTAAATTTTATTTAACTTTATTAAATGGTAGGTGGGACTAATTAAATGGGAAAATATATTAATTGTTTTAATTTTTAAATATAAATAAAGTAAAATTAAGAATTAAAATAGTTTGTAAATTATTTAAAATTAAAAAAAATCCACATAATCATCTTTTACATGATGGATTTTCCACTTAATATTGAAAATGTAAAATAGTCAATCACTTAGCGAAAAAATTAGTTACATCAACATTTAATTGACGGAAAGACGAAATTAAAAATTGAAGTTAAAGGACGTTTTTGGTACTTTGTGAAGTTCAAGGATCAATTGGTTCAAAAATAAAAGTTGAGAGACCAATTCAAATATTTAACCTAAAAAAATATGTTAACCACGTCAGCATCACTGTTTAATTAATCCTTAAATAGAAAAAGTTGAAAGTTGACATCCTTAAATAGAAAAAGTTGAAAGTTGACATCCTTAAATAAAAAAAAATTAAAAGTTAACCTTCTTATTTAGAAACTGACAAAATTAACATCCTTATTTAGAAACTGTCAAAGTTAACATCTTTAAATAGAAAAAAGTGCAAAATTGAAATCCTTATTTTCACCTTTACTCTTCCCACTGATGTAGGACACAACTTGCATTGCTTCTAGGGTTTCTACTCTCCTCAAGTGAGGTTCCGCCATCATGGCTCTGTTAGGTTATCTCAGTTCATCTTTCGCTTTTCTCTCTTGTTTTTCATCAAATGTTTACTCTTTGCCCTTTTTTCCCTTAAGATCTAGCATATTTTCTTCTTAAATCACAAAAAACCCAAAAACAGTTTTGGTTTTCATCTCTGCACAAACCCTAATCTGATTGAAGATTCTTGCTACAAATATAATGGGAAGCTTGCTAGTTTTGAGCTTTATGCATGATGGCTATAGATGCTCCAAGAGACAATCACTTCATCAAGGATGGGAGGGCTGATGTGGTCGCATTGGTCAATATGAACGAAGAGCAAGGATGGGGTTACTTAGTGGCCGGTGCTGATGTACTTGATCCTCATAGAATCATACTCATTCAGGTGATCTTTGCCCTTGCTCTACCTTAATGTCATCCCTATTAAATCAGAAGCTTATGAGTATTATCTATTATTGGTTATCTCTTGTGAGAGTCTGAAATTCCTTCGAGGCTCAAGTATTAGGAAGCTTGTCTCAGGAAAATTGTTGAACTTAGTCTGTGATTTTGATTATCAGAGATTAATAAAAATTGATTACTTCTTTCTTTTTGTGGTTTTTGAGAGGGACTATCGTAATTTGTGCCATGAGCTTTCAAAGGGTATGAATATTTATGATGTAAAGTTTAGATTGGGGAATATTAGTAACAATCTGAATTGGGAATGTGAAATTTGCATGTCTGATTGGTCTACTTCAAACAGGAATCCAATTGTTCTATTGTGTTATGGTGAGTTTGCTTATGGTAGTCTTACCATAGTAGCATATTATTAATACAGTGAAAAGGAGCACAATATGTTAATTTGTCCTCTTGAAATATTTGCTTTTGGTGGTTGAAATTAGTCTACTGAGGGGTTAGGTGGCTGTCCCATAACAACCACAGGGGCATCATGACGCACTAAGATAAATAGACACAAGGCAAGGGTCTCCCTTGTGGCCTTTTGGAGTTTTTAAGGTATTTATCCTAGACCCTTTTTCTAATTACATCTGTTGGTTTTCTCTCAAGTTTTGTTCCATGTATGTTTATGTGCTGTGTGGAGGTGCTAGTAGGTGGTTTATGGTGTATGCCATCGTTGTCTGGAGATTTGATTTGGTATCCTTAACTTACAGGGGGATAGAGCCCTATGTAATTAAGGCTATACTAATAGGGTATGGAAATTTTGGGATCTCAATAACTAGCCCTTGCACTCAACTAGAAGAAGTTTTCTTTGTTATTGTAGCTAAGGAAAGCTTTGCTTATCTTTGTAATGGATGGATTAATCTCCTCTATTGCTTTCTTGACCCTTATTATCTTGGTTTGATTGTTGTTGTTTTCTTTTGAAAAATAACAAAAATGTCATACTTTTATTAGTGTCTTTGATGTTGGTTTTCCTTGGGGGATTGATAAGTTGGTTACTCTTTGTGTGAATTGGGTGAATAGCCTTTTCTAGGTCATGGGTTGGAGAGTATTTATGTTGTTTTTGGTAGAATCTCTTCATATTAGCACCTAGATGGTTTATCGAGGTCTGCTTCCAAGAAGTTCATACTTTGATAGAAGCAGCCCGTTCTTGGATCATGTTTCTCAGGGGAGACAGCAGCTCTATATCTATCAATACCACCTGCAAGTTACCAAGGTTCTTATGTGCTGTGGATTAGCATGATACAGTTATCCCTCACTGATTTCCTTTACAACTGTAATTTCTTGCATTTTTCCCTAGGCTCCTCATGGCATATATTGGAGGATGAAGAAGAGTACAAGCTTCGGAAAGCTTTTTTTTGGAGGATGTGCATACCTTTATCTTCCTCGAGATGGTGATGAGCTTTGGAGGTTCTCTTTATTGGCTATCCTTTTCTAATTCATGTATTTCCTTTCTGTTGATTTGGTGCTTCTGTTTTTGGTTCTTTTGGTTTGTAGGAAGACTTAATTTTCTCTTAATATGGTTACCATTTTATTTTAAAAGGTTGTGATAAATCTCAATTATTAAAAAGTGTATAAATAAATTATTAAGATTTTATTCAAATGTGATGTGTAAGATTTATATGGAGGTGAATCTCTCATATATATATATATATATATATATATATATATATATATCTATAAAACAATTATTTTTAATAAATATAATAATAAATAAATAAATTTCAATCATTAAAAGTTAAAGATAAATAATCAAGATTTTATATAAATATAATGTACAAAATTTGTTTGTGAGTAAATTTTTATTATATATACACACAAGGGGCCTAGATTTGTGTACGAAGGAACAAGAAAAAAAAAATCTCCATAAATATAGGACAAACAGACAATACCAGTTATCCAATACCATTGTTCAATTGTCTTCCTTTGCTCCTAATAGAAACCAACTCAAGCCAAGTAAACACTGGAAATACAACATTTTTGTACCAAGGCGCATGTCATCTTTAAAAATGAGTTCAAATCACTATACTGCCTTTCTTTCGTGGAAAATAACTTGTTAGGATACATTTTGTATATTTACTCTATTTTTTAATGGAACATTTTTTGCATTTTCTAATGTTTAGAATCTATTTAGAAAACAAGTCAAAAAAATAAAAATAAAAATAAAAAGGAAAAAAAACCTTCAGATTGTAAAATGCGAAATCAAATAAGTATTGTAAGTACCATAACTTTTTTGTGCATTTTTTAAAGTAATAATTTTTATTAAATCTGCAAATTTCTTGTATAGACCAAACTATGGGCAGTGTTATCTGTAAAATTTTTCTTTAGAAAAAAATTCCAAAATGACATAGTTTTTGTGAACCAAACGAACCCTTCAATAAAGAAATACGAGAAAAAAGAAAATCAACTTAAGAGTTTGGATTTACTTGTAAGTATCGTCTTATAAAGTAAATTTAGAATTTAAGTTTTGTACTTAATTTTTTTAAATGTACCAAATTAATATGAGTAGTATACTTTTAAAATAATTTTTAAAAAAATTAGTTTTAAAATACATTAAAAACTAGCATGGAGATGGATAATCATAAAAGATAAAAGTGAGAAATAAGAGAAAAAAAAGTCTATGGTCCCTGTCCGTGTTAAATAATTTTCTGTTCACCGCGACCATGACCTGTTTTCAAATTTCTTCATGGTCCTATCACTAATTATAAATTCCTTAATTATCAAGCATAATAAATGTTTAATACTCAAAATCAAAGCTGAATGTGAACAATCTCATTTTCAAATTATTATAATTGTGCATCAGCATCAACCCTTCTCTGCTATTATTGCTTCACAGATATCTCCACGCGTTAGCATAGATTCTGTCAATGCATTTGTTTGTTTTTTTCTCTCCATATTAACTACAAACAGCAAGGCAGCATTTTGAGCCACTTCATGCAGTCTTCCTGCTTGTCTTCATCTGACATTATTACAAGATAAAGAAAACAAGGGTTTGGGAATATTCCCAAGATTCTCACGCCAAATGCGCACATCTCAAATCCTAGGAACTTTTTTTCCTTTTCTTTTAAAGAAAAATGGATTGAAATCATTGAGCTCAAGAAAAAAAAAACAAAAAAACAAAACAAAACAAAAAAAAAAAGAAAGAAAAAGGGAAAGCAGATGATCTAGACAAAACAAGATGGTCTAAATTCCTTCATTTCAGGTGAAGTCTGTGTGTTGCACCCTGTTTTCTTTCCATTCACTCCTGATTTTGTGAGGAAAGTAAGAAAATACAAAGGGTTTGGTCGAATATTGAGAAGAAAATTATCATATTTTCAAGGGTTATGTAGGAATAATTTTTTTATATCATATTTTTATATAACTTTTACATATAAATAAATGAATAAGTGCATTTAATATCACAAATCTCAAATAAATAAAAAAATTCAATTATTTAAACAATATGTAAATTTATACAAAAACATAATATAAAAATCTTGTACTTAAATCATTTTCTTAATTTTAAATGTCTTTCTTTTCTTTTTCTTTTTCTTTTTTTTCTTTAGGGAAATTTGAACCTAAATAGGCGAGAATAACAGTTCAAAAGTGTGCTTAGATTGCAGCTAAGAACAAATAATTAATATTCAATGACACTATTTAGAATTATATTATTGTTTATATTTCAATTCTAATCGATAAATGCTAAACCTTTGTAGTAAACACCCCTTAAAAGTACTAGTCAACGTGGCAATCTATCAAACACGTTGATCAAAAGATGGTTCGAATCAGGCACCCAATGAAACAAGAAAAAGGGAGGTAAAAAGGATTACTTTTCGTCATACCCATTCATAAAAATGAAAGAATCAATAACATAAGGTTGTCTTTGTTCTTTTCATCTAAGGCTTGCCTTTAACTTTTAGAAAATTCTAAAGGGAGAAAAGCATATTATCCCAAATATGCTTCATCTAATTGGTAATTAACCACTTTGATGTGCTTTACTTTATTTCCTTTCTTTCTCGAAATTCAAATGGCGATTTAGACTCTTAGGACAATGATTGGAGTTGGAATCTTTCGATAAAAGTAAAGCAATGCCCTTAAGAAGATTAATCTTTTTCCAATAAAGAATCATTCAAACAACACACTATTTTATAATCTGATCTACAGAGTATGACTGCTGATCTGCCAATTTTGCCAATTTAACCAATACATTTTCCCCCTACAAAAATCATGCATGATTTCTTGTCAACCCTCATCCTGCCCTTTTTTTCTTCAATCATCTTTTGACTTTGGATTGTGGAATGATATCTGCTTTGATACCAAACTTCAATATTCCTAATCCATGCTTGTGGTTTCACACCAATAAAAATTACACATATTTCCATCTATACACATTATTCTTCTCCTTAACCCTCCCAATCTCTTTTTCATTTTTGGGTTATTAGAACCTTTGTTTTATCCTTGGAATTGAAGATGAGGACTCAGAAGAAAACCCTGGTTGAAGAATGACTGATTTAGGAAGTTGTATTGGGTCAAATCGGGTTGATTGGTGCTGTTGTTGTAACTGCAAGAGGCGATGAATTTTTTTGATGGGTGCAGTAGGTCGTCCTCAACATTTGAACGCTGGCGCTTGAGTTTGTTATCTGCATTTGGAACAGAAGGGTTCAGCTGAGGAAGCTTTTGAAGCAAATGGCTGCTGTTAACATTGCTGTTGTTGGCAAAGTTCTCATAGAGGGGCTGCTCAAGACTCTCATTTTTTAATGGAGTTGAATCATATCCAGACAGGTTAAACTGAGTGTCAGAAAGAATACTGCTCAGCATTGAGTAATCCATGGCATCAAGCAAGTTGGAGAAGGAGCAGGACTTCTGGGGGATTAAAGTGATGTTTCTTGGAGGACTTTTCAGGCTTGGTAAAAGGGCATCTTGAACAAACTGCTCTGTTTCTTCCTCTTCTTGATCTTCACTAACTGCTGCTGTCGATGCTGAAGATAAAGCATGTGACTTCTTGTAGATCCGGCAAAGAACCCAGTCGTCTAACTGTAAAGAAAAAAAGAAAGGGACAAGATTTATCACGCCAATTCTAGGAGTCATATGAAAGAGTTTCAAGAAATTCATTTATGTCAAGCACCAAGTATCTAAGCATGCCATTCTAAGAGTACTTCGATTATTTTCAAGATTCTATCAAAACCAATCATTTCATTTTTTTATTTTACTTCCATTTACAGTGACAGCTACCATTTCCTAAATGCATCTATGGGTTCCAACCCCAATCCCACCTTCCCCAAATTGCCATATATCAAAGAAAAAATGGAAAAGATATGCATCTAAATTTCTATACTGAACAAGGAATAAAACAAGGTAAATCAATTTCAATGGAATATGTCCCTATGTGGTTCAATTCACATCATGTATTTGGGAATATGGTGCTCACCCTCATGGAAGAATCTTTGGACTTTGCTGGTCTGTTGTAGTTGCCACTGGGGCTATCTGAAAGGCGATATTCATGCATAATCCAATTAGTCTTGACACCCTTTGGAGGCCTTCCCTTGTAGAACACGAGAGCCTTCTTCACACCAATGCTTTCTTGTCCTCCTCCAACTCCAGCCACCATTGATGATGTCACTATAACCTTATCCGTCCCAGTTGCCTTCCAATACCCAGACGCGGCTGCCCTGTTTGGTCTAGCACCATTTGGGTACTTCCTGTCTCTTGGACTGAAAAAGTACCACTCTTTCTCACCAAAAGCAGCTTTAGCTGATTTAAAGAAAACAACAAACACAAACAGAACCCTTTTATGTTTGCACAATTATACCATCAGAAGAATATACAAAACATTAGAAACAGAGCAAGCAAGAATGAGAGCAACCCATGATGCCATATAAACAGAAATGATCAAACATTGAAAAGAGAGGTCAAAGAAGATTAATTAACCTGGTAAGTCCCATGGATCAAACTTGTAGATATCAACATCGGCTATGATGGACACTGGAAAGGGTGTGGAAGCAAGCTTCTTTCTCAAATAGTGAAGGATAAGCTCCTCATCTGTTGGGTGAAACCTAAACCCTGGAGGCAAAGATGATTGTGGATTCTTCATCCTTGCTAATAATCAAAAGGGGACAGAAATGACTAAAAACTATAGCTACAAGCCTACAACTCTCAATATCTTGCTTTGGTAGCAAAACCAAATCAAAGAGAGAGAAGAGAATTGAAATTTTTGGGAGGGGAGAATGGGGAGCCATTTTATGGAGGTGGGATTTTGTCGTTATGTGGAAAAATATGGATTAGATTAGGCCAAAAGAAGAAGAAAGAAAGAAAGAGGAGGGGGGAAGAAAATCAGTTGCATCCTATGCTTTAAAAGGGCCCCACCATCAATTCCCATGCCAGCTGGGGGGATTTTGAGATATTATTGGTTCTCTTTGGTTTTGTCCTCACCTTCAACCTATAGGAAAAGATGGCGGCTGCTCAGCCAAGGAATTGGATTTCATCTAATAACATCAAAGTCTTTAGATAATATCTTGCCACGTGCCACTTCTTCCCCAATATTTTGGCCTTTGTGGCAGTCCTACTCACACCATTCCGTGAGCATGTACACCTCTTGACTCAGTTGACAAATTTTCTATTTAGGGATATGGGTGTACATTATTCTATTCTAAAGTTTGCAATGTGTTAGGGGGGGCCTCATATATGCTTCAATGCAAGCTTGACACCAAACCCACTTCCTCTTTTTTTTTTCTTTTTACAAAGATAATAATTAATAATTATGTTAAAAATGGTTAACAATTAAGAATTTAATCTCATAAGTGATCTCTCATCCCTCTTATTGAGGCGCGCAGCCCATTGAGTTTCATAATGGAGTTCCACCAAACCCACTTCCTTTTGATCATTTAGTGGGTATTTCGTACTTGTTAAAGCATGACTGTTAACAAGTTAGGGCACTTAATTATTAGAAATTCTTTAACTCTATATTCTAGAAACATGATGTATTATTATTGATATTAGGCTAGGATTCAATTCATCTAATTGAAGATGATGATAATTATAGTGTCGTTCTCGGAGATAAAGAAATAGAAAGGAACTAATTGCACGCGGATACAGATGACAAGATGAAAAAGAAAAGGAGAAACAAAGAAAGGGCCAAAAGGGTTTTGAGATAAGTTTGAAGGGTTTGAGGTTTAAAGAGAGGAAGGATTGATTGTTGGAAGGAAAAGGATTAATTGGTCAAAGATGGACCAAAGTGTTGTGTCTATCAGTGAAAAGTTAGTTGCTGCTTAGCTACATTGGCCAACTTTTCTTCCAAAGGGACGGGGCAAGAAGCCTATGTTTCCAAGCAACACCTAATGTCCAAAGCCTAAAAGAAAGCAAGTTTTTATTTTAGAGAAAGGAAAAAAAAAAAAAAAACCCACTTCACTAGTTCCTTACTCAAAACACATGTAATCAAGCTTTTTGTGGCAAAATCAATTTCTCCCTAATCACGAACTTAATACTTCTTTTTCTAATTTTTTTTAGATAACATGAGGTGATATTATTGGTACATTTTTAATTACTAATGTTATATTTTTTTAATTTTAATTGACCTTTACACCCTTTAATTTATTTAAGAAATAAAAAAATAAAATTTTGAAAAAAAAAATGTAAGAGTATAATAATTGATTATAATAAAAATATGTGATATTAACTATTAAGAGTATGGTAATAACCTCACCCTAACATGAATATGCAAGTTATAACTCAATTAATCTCATAGTCTCATATGCATATACCAAATACTTTTTATAATTTATATCTAAGATGAAAAACTCAAACCTAGACTTTCTAGCGCCTCAACATTTTCTTAACTACTAAAACAATGTCTTATTAGCTCAAAATTCAATTTGTTCATAAAACAAATTATTTAAAAGTATATCCAATCTTATAACAATGAAGTAGGCTACTCAGATATAGTTCTAATGTTAATGACAGATGTGCCATTTGTGAGTCTTCAAGAAGACGTCCAAATTTGTCCTCTTTCAAATAATAATTGGATTAATTTACTAATTTTTTGATGCTTCATGGGTGGGAAGCAATTACAAAAGCATTGCACTCGAATGACGTCGAGTTACAATTGTAAAGCAACCGATCATCCACTAATCCATTTCTTAATTAGCATCTTTGACAATATCTTCAAGCTAATATGCCTATTATTTTATTAATTCCAAGTCAGCATTCACACAATAATCATAATTATTTAGTAATAGAAGCATAGCACGTTCGTGTAATCTCACTAATGGCCTCAAATAATCCAAGAATGTTAGATCTCTATTCGTATCTTTCTTTTAAAAAATAATTTATACTAGCTGCTAATTTCTTGTAACGTAATCTCACAATTTAAATGATACTATTTAATATTGAATTTATCTAATTTGTATCTTTAGATAGTAGATTAATAAGACAATAAATATATATTTTTATAATTAATTTACATAAAATATTATAAAAATTAATATTTATTTTAAGACCACTGACATATGATTAATTTTAATTAATTAATTAATTAAATCAAAATTAATATTTAGATTTTCAATAAAAATTAATTATAAAAAATATATTAACATAAGTTAAAAAAACTCTTTAATATTTATTATTAGCTCTTTATATTCAGTTAAATGTGTGAATCAATACATACTCTCTCATTTAATTTTATATAATTGTTATAAAAATTTATATTTTTTTAATTTGTACTTTAAGAGTACAAGTTAAAGATATAATTATTTTTTTTAATAATCAAGTCATATAAAAGAACAAAAAGTTAATACTTATTTTAAATACCATATGTATTAATTTAATTATTTGTTGCTAAAATTAAAGTTTAACTTTATTTTTTATATAATTTAATCATTAAAATGTACATTAATTACATTTTTAAGATTAAAAAAACCCAAAATTTTGTTTTAACAAACGGTTTTGTAATAATCAACTCCATTTTTTATAAGTTATTAGCTCCTTCGTATATTATGCCAAAGCATCCTCGTCCTCTTCATATTGAGCAATAGATTTCCCCATAAATTAAAATTGAAAATGACTTTAGAAATAATTATTCTAAAGTCAATGATTCAATAGTAGTTCGGCGCACACGTGTGATGCTTAAGAGGTTAGTTACGTGGAATTCAGTTGGCGGGTTTTGATTTAGTCATAAATACACTTACCAAACAAGAACCTCCCCTCCTCTAACTCAAATTTCAAACAAGAAAATTAGCATGGTCAAAACAAATTTATGACTCCTTAATTCCAGACAACTATGTTTAGTATTTACCCTCTGCGCCAATTTTCCATCTTACTAGGCCCACTTTTAATTGAGCTTTTTTAATTTGTGTTTTTAAAACATAATTATTATATCTTTTTAATATTAATTAATATTAAAAGATATAAAAATTATTTTTAATTTTATTATTAGTGTTATGTAGATTATTTTAATTAATTAATTGTTTAAATAAAAATCAATTTTTATTTTTTAATACTAATAAATATAAATAAAATATAATAATTACATTCTTAATATATACCCTTAAGCAAAAAATAAAACACCCATTTTAATTTTACACATATCTAAACAATTTAAGAATTTGTTCAAAGCTACCTAATTAGACATTAAAATGCAATATTTATTTCTAATCAAAGCTTTATCATCTTTGACAATACTATTAAAAAAAAAATCTTTATCATTATCATCTTTATGAATAGGCTCAAGTAACAAAGATAATATTAGGATAATACCATTTAATGTCTTATTCAAATAAAAAGTGAAGCAATTAAATTAAAACTCTTAAATTTAAAAGATGAGAAAACTAAATTGGAGTAGAAGGTGTAAACGCCAATGCTACAGTAAAATTATTTTAACACTAAATTAGAATTGAATTGGAATTGTGATATACAATTAAAAACAATCAACCACAAAATGACATGGTATAATGTATTCACCATTGTACTTAAGATCATTGTACCTCTATCACTTTACTTTCATCAATGAAAGTGATTGAATTGCAATGTTCTTTCCTCACAAGAGAAGTACTAAGAATACTCTTTTTACTAGTATTTTGGTTTAAGGGGAGAGGAGAGAAGAGAAAAGGAAAAAAATCTTCAATTTAATTAAAAATATTGGAGAGGAAGGGACGGAAGGAAAGCCATTTATATTATTTTTAAATTTTTTTTTTTATTTATGCGAATAAGAGGAGAGGAAGCAAAGGAAATAGAGAAAAATGAAAGGACGCAACATTCTTCCATTTATTTTCCTTTCCCTCCCTTTCATGTTCTTTAAACTAAACATGTTGTAATACTCTCTTTTAAGCACTTTCCAAATAATTGAGTCACAAGGCACATAAATAAATTGTGATTAGTTAAACTTTTAAATTTTAAAAACATTAAATTTAATGTCAATATTATCTGTGGATCACATTAGATATATGCATCAAGTGGCCTAATCATGTAAAAAGTGTTTAAAAAAGAATGTTAAGAACATCTTAAACTCCTTTCCTTGCAATATTATATATATATCATGAAATTAGTGTTTTTTAACTGTCATGTTATATAAACATAACATGATATTAAACAAATAATTAAGTGATAAAATCTTTGTACTCGTTATTATATATAAATCAATATACATTTAATCATTTATTGTTATGCTTAGATTATATAATTATAATTGTGAACCGTTGTATAGAAATCTTATTGTCAACTCAACGATATAAAGCTGCAATACTCTTACCGATAAACTATTTCTACGACGAAAACTTGATAGATGCAAGGTGTTTTCTATTAACCATGTGCTATAATCCCTATTGTAAAAAAATTAGAATACAAATTACATTTTACTTCCTCAATACATGCCATAATAGTAATAAAATAGCGTAGATTTTGGACTAAGTAAATGATTAAAAATTTTACATGTTAAAAAGTAAAGTTTAAACCAAGCTATAGCTCTAGTCTGATTTTGGACTAACTAACTATGGCTGTTAGTTATTCTTTAAGACTTTTAGCTATTAGGGTGTTTTTAAGTTGGTTTGTGTATTTTTATAAATTAATTTTTTATAAGTAATTTTAAAAATGCACCTCACATTAGTTTTTATATTTAAAAATTAAATTTTTTTAGGTGTCACTTACAAAAATTTAAACTTAAATTTAGTTTACAAAACTAGTAAATTACAATTTCTTAATTATGGATCCAATTCTAGGATTAGACTTCCTAGCTATATAAAATGAGCATGGACTGGTTCCTTGAACAATGAAAAAAAAAAAAATTAAAACTAAGTTTCCCACGTCGAGGGAGAGTAGAGACTTTTTAGCACAATAATGAAACCAAAAGAAGTAGTTGATCAATAGGGAGGTGCCGAATTTGGACAAAAGCAAAGATGAATAGGACAAAGAAAAAGAAAGAGGATTTTGGAACATGTGTTGTAAAGAGAATAAATTATGAACTAAAAGGGCTTATCCTTATCCACAACTATTAGAACCTAGAATTTATCCTGCAAAGATGCTTTTGTTTGGCTGATGGGCTTTTCATTTTTTTCCCCTTTTTATCTGTTCTCTTGCAAGAATAGGATTCATGCTTTGAATATTATGTCATGTATGATGTAAAATGAAGGTACTTGAGAATTCAATGTTTCTTTCCGCTAACCTGCTCTGTTTTCCATTACATGGTAACTTGTTCAGCTGAAATTCAAACACTCACATGTCAAAATGGGTATCTATTCAAATATTCAATCAATATGCTACACCTTCCCTAGAAAAAGTGCCCCACCGTCCCCTAGAATAAGTGCCCCATGATTTCTCGGCTCAACTATTTCCTCAGCATGCAGACATTAGAGAAAAACTTAGTCAAGCCAACATTAAGAAACTAAAAGTTTTACCTTCATGAAGAGAGGTGATGATAATTGACAAACAGGGTCAATAACATCTGCCCACTTAGTTATGAAAACCTTGACTTTCACCCACCTGTAGAAAGGAAAAAACTTGAAGACCAATCAAAAGTTAGAAAAGAAGAGCAATCACATGGTTCCTTCTACCTTTTCAAAGTTAAGGACACAAGCCTTAACGGCTTAATGTGGCAACAGTGGCAGCTAGCATGAACTCCTAACCCACATGAACGTGTAATCAGTCATTACATCAAGTTGTTGGGGACATTTGACCGCAACAAGGGATAATAATGCAATCATACAAATTAGACTGGTCAAAGGAATGGGATAGGAATGCAAGAACACGCATCAGCTAGCTGAGTTCCAAGTGTGAAAGTCATGAATGTGACCGGCTGTAGTTTTCCACGTGCAGTTCACCTAATTGCAAAGGTTAGTAGTTATCTCATGTAAAATGGAAACGTACCATCTTTACCACCTGAGATATCACATAAATAAGTTAGGCCTAACTTGGAATAAAAGGTAAAGTCAAGAGCTTACAGACCATCTTCTGTGTTTTTAGCCACAAAATTCTTTAGCAGAAGCAATGCTAAAGTCACTTTTCACTTACTGGAGAATTAGCAAGAATCTTATGAATTCACTAATTATTACACAGAAAAAGGTGGAAAGAAATTCACCCTATGCTGCTGAATCTGTACTCCAGCAGTTGCAAAGTGACAGGTAATTTTTTTAAGAAATTCACTAATTTTTTAATTGCATGTGTTATAAGAAGTAAAAAGACAGCTAAATAGGTTTGCAGTTGCAAAGTGACACACAAAGGTAGCGCGCAACAGACGAACTTCAATTCTACCAGGCTGTTTCATATTCTTATTCCAAATAGAGTCTCCTATTAGGTGGATCAACGGCCATATCCATATGAAATCTATTTTCACCATCGAACAAGGTTTCAGAAATCTGCCTAATAACGACAGATAATCAACTGTTCATTTGAATGGAGCAAGGTCTGTATGACATATTAAACAGTATGTAAGGTTGACTAATTAGGTTTTTTTTTTTTGATAAATACTAATTAGGTTTATTTGATAATGTCTAGTTGTTTGGTAGATAGAAAACTTTATTAGGAGAAGATTGTAGCTTGCTATGAGGGTTCACATTCTGAGAATGTTGTCAGACAAGAAACACAAACCTATCTAATAAAAATTATCAAACTACAAACAAGGTAATCAAGAAGCAGCAATGACAAGTATGAGGTAACAAAAAACAAAAATCAATAATCTTTAAATAAGAGGATTTGTATGTATTAAGGAAGCACATAATACACTCTAAGATACTGTGTCAACTGCTAATACCTTTTCATCTATGCTGTGAGTGTTGCAGGAAGAGCAGAAATAATATCAGGGCTTGGAAATACTATACTTAAGAACGAAGCCACAACTCGCACGAAAAGCAACTTAGCTTTCCTCTGAGCACAAGACAGAAATGGTAGGAAAGCTCCTTATCACAAAACATACAAATGTGCACACGAGCATGGACTAAATTCTTCAACAAGAACATGATAATTTTACTCAAATTTTCTCATATTTATGAATTTTGATTGAGCAACAGAATTGATCACTCAAAGGGTAGCCATCAAACCCCACACCATTAAGGCAGTGCATGAAAAACATGATGCCTTCCAAGGGTTCATTCCTATGTCCTACAAAATTATTTTACTTGATGATTACATGCAAATATTTAACAGTTTTAACGCAAAAGAAGCAATTAAGGTACCAAATGAAACTTGGATTTCTTTATGGTGAATGAGATTAAAATAACCTCCATTACACACAAAAATGTCATACAAGAATTTTAGTGAGTGGGAATAAGAAAGGAATATCGAGGCAAGCACAGTAGGGACCAAAATATTTACATGGACAGTTTCAAAAGCACAAGTTTGAATATCTTCAGTTCCCATTAGGAAATAAATATTACGACAACATACTCCACAACAAAAATAGAAACAGACCAAGAGAAAATCATTCTATGAGTCCTGAAGACAGCCATGAGGTCTTGGTTCAATGACTAAAGAATTGGCTAAAGCTCTTGGAGGTCCCAGATCTCCCCATCCCTGAACACACAAGATGTAAATCAAAATTCCACTGCTTGGTTCTAACAACAGAGCTATGAATAGTAGAACTGCTTTGAGTCTTCTGGCTCAAGTCCACTCACAAACTTAGAAATTTCTGAAAGACAGGACCTTGGGCTGTTGTTATGTAGCAACATATTACACAATCACACAACAAGAACCGATGGTGGGTCTTGCATGAGGCAACAATTCATCAGGGAGTAAAGATATCATGATCAAGAATAATAGCATAAAAAATGTTGAGAAACATGCATAAAGCTATAAACAAAGCTTTCAATGTTTTCAAAAGCTACCTAGCACTCAAAAATGATACTGGTTTACTCATGCAATGAACTGCATGAGCTTTCATTCAAAAAATAGGTGGACAATCTAACTTTTCCATGAGCAAGAAATAGGAACTATGGCAGCAGACCACATTCATCGTACCATTCTAAAAATAGAACAAAATTCTAAAACCAGGCTCCACTAGTCAATCTAACCCAATCTGGTAAACAATACTTGTTTTAATAAGAATGTTTTCTAAAGAGATTAGCTTTATCACATATCAAATGGCATGGTAGGCATGAAAAAAACAAGATGATCATACAGTTATTTTCCTTTTATTTGAATGGGCTTATTTTTTCCCCTGAGATAATCAGAAATTCAATTGACACAAAAAAACATTACAAAGAACACAATAAAACCAGACTCACAACCAAGGCAGTATAGAATTTGCAATTAATATACCAGTTAGTTCAGTGATAGCATATTTATACAAGTAGAATCCCCAATCCCTACAATACAAATATATTTTATCTTTCTCCATTTTTTAAGTTCTTCTTTATCCTATATTTTCTCTAACTTCAGCAGCCACGACATTTTACTCAGCTTGTGAATGCCACATACATCTCCTAGATCCTGAAGAGTGGCTAATATAGTAAAGTCACTGTATCATCACCATATGCATCCAATACATCCCAGACATGATCTTGAGTTTCTTCAGTCCATGTTAATGACATGTTTAAAGGTTTTTCTGCGTAGCTCTAAGTTTTCATTTTTTTTTTATTTTAATGCCATAAAAGTTGCAAATTTTCTATTCAGTTGGTTTTTGAAACATTTTCATTTCAGGGCCAGCAGAGATTAATTTGTTCAACAGTATCTCATCAAGCATAAAAGAACTAGTGACAAGGATGTCTACAGCAAATGGAACGGAATTACCAAAAAAAAAAAAAAGTATGAGCTTACAGAAAACTGCATTGATAGCAGTATGATGACCATTATCCACAATTAGCTCATAGCTGATGAACCAAAAATGACCAAAAACTTATCAATGATAGCTTAGACAATGAAAAAAGAGGGCTAAAACTTTTCTGCTAACAGCATCCATGTCTTCTATTATTAGGGTAATTGGTTACCTGACTTTTTCATTTATGACTGGAATTAAGTCCCAGAACCAAGTAGTTGCTACATGGCATCTATAACAAAATGAAAGCTCAAAAGTTGGGCTGCATGCATTTTAGATCCAGAGTATGGTGATCAGCAGCATCTTATGAAGCATCTATATGCAGTTTGAAGGTAATCTCAATGTTGAATCTGACGAGAGAGCCTCAAACACAAAGCACATGTGATGGAGATATATTATTTCATGTAAACCTATTACTCCCAAAAAGAAAAGCCTCTCTCTCTGACTACTCTTCTGGTTTCAGGTTGCCGAAGAAAATCCCTTTCCTGTTCCAACTTCTTAGAGATGACTCTGGTCTGCTTTTCTAATTCAGGACAATGTAGGTTACCCTTCGGAGGGGCAATTTTATTCTGTGCAAATTGCTTACTAGACACCCAAGCCTTAAGCATCTCATCAATCTTTGGATCTGGAAATAAATTTTTTTCCTTCATCTCCAAATAAAATTTGTATGCTTCCTCCAACTTTCCATTTAAAAACAACCCATGAATCAGCACAATATATGAGCTACGATCAGGCCCTACACCATTATCACTCATCTCATTCCACACCTTAAAGGCATTATCAAAGTGGTGCCATCGGCTAAACTTTCTTATCAACATGATGTAAGTATCATTAGCTGGCTGGCAGCCCAACTTCTTCATCTTCTCCAAGAGCTCAAACACTTCTTCCCCATTCCTTAAACTGCGAAAGAAGGCATGGTAGGTATGAATTGTAGGTGAGAGGTCCCTTTGTATCATCTCATCAAAGACCTGTCTAGCCTCATCAATTTTTCGGGCTTTGCATAGGGGCTTAATCAATGAATTATAAGTAACAACATTGGGTGCAATGCCCTTTTCTTCCATTGTTCTCATGAGATCAATAGCCTCTTGCACCAACCTAGCCTTTGCAAGAGCATGGACGACTGCATTATAAACCTTCCTATCAGGTTCTATCCTCAACTTTTTCATCTGGTCAAACAGCTTGAAAACCTTGTGAAGATTAGAGGCTTTAGAATAGCAAGACATGATAGTCGAATATGACACTACATCATATTGGATACCTCTCTTGCCCATCTCTCTCCAGACCCTCTCTGCTTCACATGGACTGCCAACAATATTACACCAGCCATTAAGTATAACATTAAAACTCTTGGTATTAAATGGAAAGACATCCTTGTTACAAAACATTAAGTGTTCGGCTTCCTTCACATTCTTGTATCGGCAAAGGGCAGATAGTAGACTCTGAAACTCCTCAATCCCCAAATCAAATTTAAACCTTTTATATGCATAGAAGGTATTTATAGCCTTCCCCACGTCATGCACAGCACAGTATCGCCTAATCATAATCAAGAGAGTCTGTGGCGTAACAAGAGAAGGGCCTGTTCCAGTGCCTCTCATTTCATCAATCAAAGCCCAGGCGGTATCAAACTTCCTCATCTTTCCAAGAATAAAGATCATGGAATGATACTCACGTGGTGAATGAGTATAACCAGGCTGCTTTTCTGCCCATAGAAAGAAAGTAAAAGCCACCTCCCAATCATGTCGAACACGGGAAAGAACCTCCACGACCAACTCAGAAGAGGCCTTAATACAACACTGCGCAAGCCTGTTCTTCATTTCCAGCCGATCACTACCCGTCTTACACAATATATCCAGTATGACCTTTGCATCCTGAATAACAGCCTCATTGCTTACAATCAACTCTCTAACATTTTTGACATCAAAATCCTCGACATCTTCACCATCATCAGTATCACTACCATCATCCTGGTTACTAAAACCCTGTTCTGAGTCAGGAACTTTGGGTTGATCTGGGTCTTCAATATTTGAGGTCGAGAAGAAAGAGAAGTGAAATTGGAAGCAGGAATTTATGGAGTTCCTGATTGTTGTTGGTGCTGCTTCAGCGATAGTGAGACACTGGGTCCGTGTAATAAATCTCGATTTCATATGGGTATTAGCTAGAACAGAAAACAGTGAAAGATATGACCTCGAAACTCTGATTCCCCGCATTTCTAGAGATTGAAACTAGTGCAAAAGCTGCAAGTCATGAGTTGCACAGGAACCGTTTGTAAAAATGACTGAATGAAGAACACAAAATCCTAAACCTTAAAAATGAAATGAGTGAAGAGAGAAATAGTGGCACTTACCTGCAAGAACAATGACTACATGAAACAAAACTCTGTTGCTTTGAACCAACCAGCCGATCTTCCGTTATCGTTTATGCAAAGTACGCCGTTTCGCTTCTCCAAACTCCAAAATATAGATGAACTGAGGAAACACTAGGAGAAATTTATTTATACATTGATGTTCTGGAGATTTTTTAAAGAGGCCCTTGAACTTGTCTCTAATTTGAAATCGCCACAGCGAGTGTTCTCGGTTTTTCGGAGTTTCAACTAATTAAACCCCTATGCTATTAACCAACCACCATTGTAACCTAATGACTACAATTTCTTTGAGAAGCTGGTATCTAAAAGTCTAAGATTGAACAAACGCTATAAATAACTTAATAGTAATCTCATTTTACTAAAAGTTTTAAATTTGAATTGCATGACATATGAGTAGAGTAAGATAAAAAATAAAAAATGATTACTTCCTTATTGTGCAATCAAGATTAAAAAAAAACCTACGATTCAAATTTTGACACTCTCATTCTTTATCCTCCAATTGTGTTTGGGCAGCTTCACAATCCAACACTGTTGAAGTCCTCAGCTACTTCTACACCTGAAAATCCTGAGGGTGTTTCCTCGGGGAAGACACTCCGATGCTCAAGTCAACAATACTCAATATTCTAGAGAGAGATGCTCTCAAAGAGTAATTGTAGAGAGAGACGTAGAAGAGTTAATACCTTGCACGGAGGTAGTTGGGGGGTATTTATAGCCCCAAATGCTGACATGGGTTCAAGCATGTCTTCACCCGTTTGGTCCACGTGTCACGGCCCACGTGGGCATGTCTTCTCATCTTGGGCCAGTGGGTGCATAATTGGGCTTGTTGCATGTGGCCCGAAGTGGGTGTTGGGCCTAATCCCAACATTACTCCCCCCTTAGCGTTCGGTTGACGAATTGGGTTGAGAGTCTCGTTAGCACGGTGTCTGACCCTAAGGATGAGGAGTGACGTCTTTGTGCGTGATCGACCTTACGCACGGCCGATCTGGATGACCTGAAACTAGCGTACCTGGTCTGATGTGTATGTGTATGCCGACTTTCTACCGAGCAAGCATGGGGAAGCTGGCGCTGAAGCAAGGCGAGCTCGATGCTAATCAGCGAGTTGAGCAGGCGCGCAGGGGGTGACCTAGTGTAATGGATTTTCTGTAATAGAGCGAAGTCGAGCAAATAGTGAACGAGTTGCACCCATTAACCCAAACGAGCTGAAATGAGCGACCTTAATCGTCACTATGATGTATACCGCCGAGATACAGAGTAAATCTGAGGGAGTTGGTGATGATCTAACGTTTGATGTTTAAAATTGAGGTGAATCTCTGATTTGTTACGACTTGATCTCTAAATTTACGACCTAATCTCTAAAGACTTCGAATTTGGAATTTCTGTCGAGATCTCGGATTAGTAACGAGCTGATTACTCGAGATTTTCAAATTTTGAATTAGGGCAGATCTCTGAGAAGATTTCGGATTTGTTACGAGCTAATCATTGAGGTTTGTTACGATCTGATCCTTGAGATTTTTCCAATCTTAAATTGTGGCGAATCTTTGAGGAGATTTGCTCAGGGCATTTGGTATTCTTTTGCCAACGACAGATATCCTTTTGCCTCCCCGCAATAAATGCTGGCTCAGCATTTAACGTGACGTGACAACTGCAGACGGCGTATTGTGGGCTCTTAACCATAAATGGCTGCCACGTGGACGTGTTTAACTGGAGGGCCAGAAACACGGGTACGGCGTTCCAGGAGCAGTATCTGAAGGACAAAAAACAAAAGCAATTCTCTGTTTCATTATTCAATACGTTAGCATTTTCATCCGCAAGAGTTGTAAAGACGCTCTAGACCATTCTCCAGAATTTCCAGCAAGAGGACATCCTACTTCACACACAAGGTAAAAAATGGCTTCTTTTCATGATGCGTAAGAGTTTCGGGGTAACCAAGGTGATGAAGAGGAAGTAGATGTGATATTTGTGGAGCCTATCGCCATGATAGTGCCACCGGAATTGCAAGACTCGCCTAGAACTGCCACATCGGAGAGTAGCGCTAGTTCGAGCGCGGGTGGTGGTTCTGATGACCACTGGCCTTCAACGTCCAGCGATTCGCCCATGGAAAAGACACCCAGTGAAGCGGAGGGTGTTGAAGAGGTTGGGTGCAATGTGCCGGCAATGAGTACAGAAGCGGAGGTGGTTCTGTTTGAAGGGTGGGAGAGTAGGGTTCTTAGTGGAAGACTGGACAACCTTCGCAAGGCCCCCAAAACCCCACCTGCCGGCTTTAAGTTCAGGGCGGCACTGCATCACGAAGTTGTAGATGGTGCAGCCACAATGAAAAGGTACAAGAAGTTAGAGGAGATGGTGAGGCGATACCAGATCCCTAGGACCATTTTGATCCGAGCTAGAACACCAAACGAACGAGAGTGTTTAGTATTGAGGACGGGCTGGGTGCCAATATACGTAGACCATTTTGACGCCGGTCTACGTTTTCCTCTGCCTGGACTAATTTTTGACGTCCTGGCAGAGTACAAGCTGGCCCTTCCGCAACTAACACCCAATAGCATAAAGTTTATCATAGGCTTTATGCTGTTGTGTGAGAGGTTGGGGATGCCCGCGAAGGCGGTGGTCTTCAGGTCACTCTTCCTGTGCCGTCTGTGCCCCTCCACCAGCTAAATGAGATGGTACTACATCTTTAGAAGAGAAAAAATGATGATATTCACCAACATCAGAAATAAGGTGGCGAGGTGGAAGAGACAGTTCGTCTTCATGTGCGATACACGAATAGAGAGAATCAATAATGAGCTCGCTGCCCGTCTATCAGAGTGGCGTACGCCCAACGCATACATGAACTACCCACAGTTGACAGTTGGTGATGTCGACCTGAAGAACTGGCTGCTCGATTATGTGAAGGCGAGGGGTTTGGTGGATTTGGAAGCCTTGGTTACCCCAGAGCATATTGCACTTCTAGGGTTTGTTGACGTGGCAAACCTTCACGGGGAAGGTATATTTCTATAACATACTAGCATTTCTAGCCGATCTGAGTCTTATGCCTTTGTTTGTGCAAGAGAAATGAGCAGCATCCTTGAGAGGCAACGTCAACGAGCATAAGGCTCGAGGAACTGTGGAGCTAGATCCAGTTCCCAATGTCAAACCCATTTTGATGAGCGGCCACCCGCAGCACCTGGGTGTAGCTCATCGCACAGGAGTTCCAGCTTAGCATCGAGGCCCGTGTTAAGTAGAGAGTTGAGCCTGCGCCCTCAAGCTCAAGAAGGCATGCGCGGGAGGACTCAAACGCAGAGGATGACATTCCCCTCATCTGGCGGAGGATGAGTACGGGGAACCGGCCCGTTCCAGCCACTGCAGCACGGCCTGCCAACGTGCCCCCAACGCCCGCTTGTGAGGTTGCTGAACCAACACATGCCTCGCCGTCTGTGGCAAGGCCAAGGATTGCATATCCTGATGGCTTCAATTACGTAAGAACTGACTGCCAGGCCGCAATGCTGCAAGGTATGCAGAGCTTTGTGCCTCCTGCAGACCGGCAACGTGCGAAGGGGCACGTCTAGCAGCATAGAGGACATGCTGCTCTCATCAAGTTGATGGATGTAAGTACACTTACCGAGCTAATTGTTGTATTCTATCATTTTTTGCTATAAACTGACGAGTGAACACATATTGCAGGCGTTCAGCTACACTGTCACACTCTTTGAGTGCGAGTAAGGAGTGCGAGTGCAGAACCGCGAGCTGGAACACAACTGCAAGCAACTGGCCTTTGAAAAAGCCAGTTTGGCTGACGAGGTTAGTCACTTGCAGAGCTTGGAGATGACTAACCGAGTGGCGTCAGCAGAGAGCCGAGCTGACGAGTTGGCCCGTAAGGTCAATGAGCTGAAGGAGGAGCTCGAAAAGGCTCAAGTGGAGAAGGAGACCAGCATCCAAGCTGCCAAGGAGGAGGTCAGTCATGCAGAGGAACGAGCTAGGAAGGTAGAGGCTGACAAAGAGAAAACTCTACACGAGCTGAGCGCCCTGAGAGAGAGGGTCTCACAAGCTGATCAGCACGTCACCCGGGCTAAGGCGTCTTTGGAGAGGACGAAATGGCTCCACCAACGCGATGTTTGCTTTGCCCGTGCACAAGGGGCGAGTGGCTGGTGGGAGCAGAGATGTTCCAGGACACCGTCACTGTTGCCTCGGCCAACACAACCACGGACATTTTCAACGAGGTTCGTGGGAAGGTACTGCGAGTCCGGGCTAACTTCCCCATCAGCGAGCTGGCCTTCTTCGAGGGTGAGGAGATTGACAAAGAAGGGAAGAGCCTCGCCCAGCCAGCTGATACTCAGGTGAGATTGAAGAGGGAGCTCAATGAAGAGGGGCTGCCCGTGTGGCCCCCCCTCTGTCATTGAAGAGGGGGAGGACACGGAGGGGTTGCCAAGCTTTGATGCTTGGGTGGCAAACCCCCAGGACGTGCCTGTTGAACCTTCCAGCACTCCCCCATCTGCTTAGCCTCAGCCTCAGCCCGCCTCGGCCATTACTCCTACTCCTTCTTCAAATCAGCCATCTCCTGCTCAGTCTGTTTTTGCGCCCAATGACGTGTCCATCCCCGTCGACCTGACGGACAACTAGTATAGGATTTTTGGTTTCTTTTTTGTATTGTTTTTACATTTTTGTGTAGATCAATGAACTTATTCACAATATGTACTCCACATGTAAAGATTCATTGATGAAATATAAATTCAATATGTTCTTTCGAAATTTCTGTATTGAATTTTCTGTAAATCGCCATTTATAAATGATCAGTAATGACTTGGACAAAATAATAACATACAAGTTAACTGTAAAACTTTCTAAGGTTATGTATGTTCCAAATGAAGGGTAATGGACAACCTTGTAAATCTGCCAATTGGTAACACCCAAGTCACTTAATACAAATAACCATATAAGGACCTTCCCAATTAGGAGCGGGCTTGCCCATGTGCGAATAAACATTGGTTAATCCAGCTTTGCATAGAACCAGATCGCCAACCTTAAATTGACGAGCTCGAACTCTCTTATTATAAAATTTTACAACACGACCCTGATGTGCCATGTTCTTTATTCAAGACATCTCCCTAACCTCTTCTACAAGGTCTAGGTTCTCTCTTAAAAGTTGCTCATTATTAAGATCGTCGTGGCGATCTAATCTGTCGGATGGTAACCCCACTTCTATAGGGATAACGGCCTCAGCTCCATAGGTGAGGCTAAATGAGGTTTCACTTGTAGCTGAGCTAGGTGTAGTGCGACATGACCAGAGCACTTTACTCAGCTCGTCAACCCAATTAGAATGTGCGGCTAATACACGCGTCTTGAGGCCTCGCAAGACGATTTTATTGGCGGACTCGGCTTGTCCATTTGATTGTGGGGTATATATAGAGGTCAAGGCGAGCTCAATGCCATAGTCATTGCAGAATGACTTCAATGTTGCGGCTTGAAACTATGGACCATCGTCAGCGATGATTCATTTAGGTATGCCGAACCTATACACAGATGACCGAGCTGAGCCACAGATTACAGTTGTATATAATGTACCAATGGTTTAAGCCAGCAAAGAATACCTGCACAATATTAAGTTGAACAGGAATTCTTCTATTTTCTTCTCTGTTGTCGTGGACAATGGTTTAGCTTCTATCCATTTGGTGAAGTAATCCACCGCGACAACAAGGTAAGTGCAACCTCCTTTGCCTTTCACAAAAGGGCCGAGTAAGTCAACTCCCCATTGAGCAAAAGGCCAGGGAGATGAGAGTGATGAGAGCATTTCTCTTGTTTCAACGAAGATACCTATGCTCAGTTTATAGACAAACATGAAGTTTGCACGAACTTTAGAACGAGCTCAGATACCTGGCATGTGAATATCATCAGCATTGAACTGGCAGGTCGGGCACTTTTTGACATAGTTCTGTGCGTCCTCAACCATAGTAGGCCAGTAGTAACCATGCCTCAGGAGTTTCCGAGCTAAAGTTCTACCTCCTATGTGTGTGCCACATACTCCTTCATGAACTTCCCTCACAGCATATTCAGCTTCATAAGGAGTAAGGCAACGTAATAGGGGCATTGAGGCTGCTCGTTTGTAGAGTTGATTATCTAACAAAGTGAAATGTGCCGCCTTGCGTTTAATCAACTTTGCAGCGAACGGATCTTCAGGTAGCTTGCCACTGTGCAGATATTCTATGAGCGGGGTAGTCCAGCTCGGTGAAGAGGGATCTGTGCTGAGCAGCTGACACTCGATTGTGAAATCGATGTAGCTCGGGGCGTCAAGTACCTCTACAAGTGTTGATCTCTGAGGGTTGATGTCTTGTGAGGAGGCTAATTTTGATAGCTTGTCAGCTTGTTGGTTATCTGCTCTAGGTATCTTGTCGATCTAGAAAGAGGCAAATCTCGATTTCAATCTGTTGACCACAGAAGCATAACGACCAAACTGAGGATCCCTGATTTCACAGCTGCCATTCACCTGGCCTACCATGAGCTGAGAGTCGCTAAAAACTTGAATGCTCTGTACTTTCAGTTCGGACGCCAGCTTCAAACCATAAATAAATACTTCATATTCCGCAGCATTATTGGTTGTCTGAAACTTAAACCTCAATGCATGCTCGGATATAAAGCCATTTGGGCCCACTAACACTGCCCTAGCACCCGATCCTTTAATGTTAGCAGCTCTGTCAACATACAAGACCCAGACTGGGTGCTCGGGTGCCTTTTCTTCCACAGTCGCCAAGATGCACTCCACCAGAAAGTCTACCATAGCCTAGCCCTTTATGGTTGTGCACGGCTGAAATTTGAGGTTGCACTCACTTAGCTCGACGCTCCATCCAATAAGCCGACTAAAGAGTTTCGGTTTTTGCAGTATTTTCCTCAACGGCAAATCGGTATAAACAACAATTTGATGCGACTAGAAGTAAGCTCTCAATTTTCGCGCCGTATAGACCAGGGCAAAAGCAGCCTTTTCTGTTAGTGGATAATTTTGCTTTGCGCCTTGTAAAACCTTGCTTACATAGCAGATAGGCTTCTGATTCTTATTCTCTTCCCTTAGTAGAATCGAACTTACTGCCTCCTCCGTGACCCCCAAATACAGGTATAAACTCTCCCCTTCCACAGGCTTAGACAACAAGGGTGCTGATGCCAGATATTGTTTGAGCTCATCAAACGCCTACTGACATTCATCTGTCCACTGAAAGTTCTTGGGCTCTCTCAAGGCTTTAAAGAACGAGAGGCATCTTTCTTTTGACCTGGCTATGAACCTATGCAGCGCAGCAACACGACCCGTTAGACGCTGCACATCTTTTACGGTCTTGGGAGGCTCCATCTGCTGAATGGCTTGAACCTTCTCTGGATTTACCTCAATTCCTTTCTTAGATACCACGTACCCTAGGAATTTTCCTGATTCTACAATGAACGTGCATTTCAAGGGATTCAGCTTCATTTGGGCTCGGCACAAGTTCTGAAAGGTCTCACTCAGGTCGTCTATATAATCCTCAACTCGCACATTGGTGACTATCATGTCATCCACATATACCTCTATGTTCCTGCCGATCTGGAGCTTAAATATGATTTGCACCAGCTTCTGATCTGTAGCGCCAGCATTTTTCAGGCCAAACAGCATCATGACATAGCAGTAGATTGCGTCACCAGCATAAAAAGCTATTTTCTCCTGGTCGTCCAACAGCAACTGCACCTGGTGGTACCTTGAGCTAGCGTCAAGAAGCTCATCCGCTCATGCCCAGCTACCCGTTCTACTAGCTTCTCCACATTTGGCAAGGGATGAGGGTATTTTGGACACGTCTCATTTAAGTTGGTGAAGTCAATACACATCTTCCACTTGCTGTTTGGTTTTTTGACAAGCACAGGGTTGGACACCCACTCAGAGTATTCCACTCTCCTGATAAAGCCTGCCTGTAGTAGCTTTTGTATCTCTTCATCTATAGCGGCTTGCTTCTCAGGGCCAAAAAGGTAACGCTTCTGAACCACCGGCCTTTTGGTGGGGTTCGTGTTGAGCTTATGGACGGTCAACTCTGCTGGGATGCCAAGCATTTCATCTATAGTCCACGCAAACACATCTTGATTAACTCTCAAAAACTCCAGAAGCTCTGCTCGCTCTTCTTCTGTGAGCTTGGTGCCGATCTTAACTATTCTTTCTAGCACGTCAGGGTTTAAATGGACCGTTTCCACTAGTTCCACCGGTTCGGCCTTCTGCTCGACGCCTTTCGGTCGGTGTTCAATATCTGATATACTCATTGTCTCCTGATCGAGCTGGGTTGGCCTGTGATTTTCAGAACCTGCTGGGGCCGCAACAAGCTCAACCTTCTTGAAAGTATCTTGGTAACAGGCTCTAGCCATCTTCTGGTTCCCCTTAAGCACTCCTACCCCCTAAGGAGTTGGGAATTTCATACAGAGATGGGGTTGTGAGATGACAGCCTTCAGCTCGCAGAGAGTGGCTCTTCCCAGTATAGCATTAAAAGCTGATTCCATCTTGATGACCAGAAAGGTGACGGAAGCCATCCTAAAGCATGGTTCCGAGCCCACATAGATGGGTAGAGTAATGACTCCTTCAACCGGGACAGGTTGATTATTAAACCCGTAGATGGGCCCTTCATACTTCTGGAGCATGCTCGGATTCAACTGCATCTTCTAAAAGCAGCTCCAAAATGATACTGGTGAGCTACCAGTATCAATGAAGACCTTGTTGACGTTATGATTGCCTATATGGACCGTTGCCACAAAAGGATTTGCATGAGGCATCATGATGTCGGGCTCTCCGTCTGCTCGCTTATAATCTGTCGAGCTGAATGTGATGGGCGCATTCTCCCACTCCGTCTCCTTGAATGGCCTCTTCAAGGGCCTGTTCTTGTTAACAGTCATCACCTGTCGGGCATATGCCTTACGGCCCCGGGTGCTTTGGCCCCCTGAGTGCATACCACCAGAGATCATATTGATTGTGCCAGATGGCGGGTGTATCTCGCTATATCCAACCCTTCTGTGGTCTTTTTGATTCTGCATGGACGCTTTCTGTCCCTGGCCTCACCCATTGAATAGGCATCCCTTGTATGCTCTGTTCGGCTCGGACGAATATTGACTCGCCTGGTAAGGAATTGGATCGTTACCGCACTGATATCCCTGTACTTGAGATCGGCCATACTCTTGCACGAAATGGGTTTGGGTGGGCTGCCGGATGTAAGGCTTCTGTACATACCCTTCCAATTTTCCATTGCGAGCCAAGAATTCAAGCTCGTCCTTCAGGCTTTGACAGTCTTCCGTGTTATGGCCATATCCATGGTGGTAGTCACAATACTTGATTTTGTCAGCTCGTGAAGAATCATGTGTTTGAGGAGTGGGTCTCTTGACCCAGTGTTGTATCTGTGCCAATATCTAGGATCTTGATGAGTTCAGGGGAATGCAGCTGTCATACTTTGGATAGGATGGCGGTTTTCCTCTTTGCTCGCCAACCTTCTGCTTTTTCTTATTGTCTCTGCCCTCAGGCTACTTGGGCTCTTTACCTTGTCTATCATCAGCTCGTCTCTTAGAAGATTGAAAATCTTTGGACAGTATGAAGCTTGCCGACTTATCATTTACTTCATTCCATGACTTGGGTGGATTCTCCAACAGATTGTTTAGAAACCGACCACGCTTCAAGCCATGCAGCAAGGCAGACAAGCAGATGGTATCGGGGACGTTATCAATGTCTAAAGTTGCCTTGTTGAACCGTTGCATGTAGTCCCTCAAAGATTCCCCTTCTTTCTGATGAACTTATATCAGTTCGGTCGCTGTACGTTTAATCTCCCTTTGGTTTGCAAATTTATTGGAGAATAGCTTGGCAAGCAAGGAGTATGAGTCTATAGAGTGTCTAGGGAGTTTATGATACCATCTTCTGGCGGTTGACTTCAGTGTCGTTGGGAACACTTTGCATATTATGGCGTCATTGGCATTCTGAATTCTCATGATAGCTTGATAGGTATGCAGGTGCTCATTTGGGTCACTTGAGCCATTGTATGCTATAGATGGGGGATTTTGAATCCCTCTTGATATGGTTTTGCTGTGATTGATAGGTTTAGCGAGGCACTATCCAAGTCAAGGGTCTGTTGATGTGACCTAGGACTTTTCAGCTCGTCAATGGATTTCTGTACATCTTTGAGCTGTCTTTCGAGGTCAGCGTTTTTCTTTAGCAGTTCTTCATTACGCTTGGATGAGCTGGGTTCGGGGTTTAACCTCCCACTTCCCCTTGGTTTGGTTGGGACCACCACATTACTCAGGGCCGAGGAGTTACGAGTTGCAACCACTACAATTGGCTGCGAATCCCTATTCAGCAAAGGAATCAGGGGGTCATCAGGAATAAGGCGGGTAAGGATTTTATCCATTGCCATTTCGAGAACTCTAGTTCTCTCTTCAAGCTCGGTGATCCGAGCAGGCTCTGCTGACCTTTCAGGTCGTTCATGTTGTGAATTGTATGGTCTGGGATGTCTTTGCCTTGTTCCTGTTGGAATTTGGAACTGTTTCGGCTGAGTTGCATACTCAGTTGGTGTTCTTTCATCATCATCTGTTTCACTCAGTTGATCCTGTTCTGCTCCTCCAACGAAAAGGTTCCTTGGCATTGGCCTAAAATCATTCAAGTCGGGCTCAAACAGTTAAGTGTCCTCCTGTTCGTCCATTTCATTTCTTGGAGGGTGACTTCCAGTAAAAGTACGAACCATTTTGTCTCTTTTAGCAAGTTAAGCCATACAACTTCTCGTTCAGTTTCCCACAGATGGCGCCAAATGTTTGGGCAGCTTCGCAATTCAACACTGTTGAAGTCTTCAGCTGCTTCCCAACCTGAAAATCCCGAGAGTGTTTCATCGGGGAAAACACTCCGACGCTCAAGTCAGCAATACTCAATATTTTAGAGAAAGATGCTCTCAAAGAATAATTGCAGAGAGAGACGTAGAAGAGTTAATACCTTGCACAGAGGTAGTTAGGGGATATTTATAACCCCAAATGCTGACATGGGTTTAAGCATGTCTTCACCCGTTTGGTTCATGGGTCACGGCCCACGTGAGCATGTCTTCTCATCTTGGGCCAGTGGGTGCATAATTGGGCCTCTTGCATGTGGCCCGAAGTGGGTGTTGGGTCTAATCCCAACAAATTGTATTAGTTTAAAACTTGTTACACCCTCTTGAAAACGTCGACAATCCCATTCCCTTGCATGAACCCATGGTAAATTCACAAGAGATTCGTTGGGGACGCCATTGTTACGGCTGGTAACAACTCGTGATAACGGGAAGGTCATCTGTGTATGATGTGTGTATGATGTGGGCATGGCAAATGAGTATAGAATGAAAGCTAACGTGCTCAGGCAGAGATGAGCCAACCGGCAATACCAATAGATGTGCAAAACTTAATTCAAGCTCGTCGGAATCGGCTTTCAAAAATCTCGTCAAACATTACGAGAATATCTCCAATGATCTATCACCTTTAGTGAGATGAACTTACTTTGAAATTCAAAAGCAAGGGTCAATGAACATACAACAAATAGAAAAGAAAATTGCCTTTCACCCACAACAAGAAAAGGGATAAGCCTTTGAGAAGATGGTTGTTAAGCAGGACAGACAAAATGAACTAATTAAATTAAATTATTCTTCAAAAAATAATAATTCTGAAGCTGTAGCGTAGTTACAAATGAAAAAATAAGAATGGAACCATTTTCTCTGTTGTTATCCCCAAGGATATTAGGCGAAAAACCTGACTTATAGCTAAAACCTAGCTGATTTCCAAGGGATTATTGACCCTGAATTCAATAGATAAAGCTGATGCATTAAGAGCTAAATGCCACGGAATTTGAACTGAATGATTAAGCATATGCAAACCGAAATTACTTTAATGATGATATTGCCTCTATAGCACTTCCCAGTGGCCATGCAGCTTCAACAAGATTATTGCCGTATTTCACTTTCTTCACCAATGTAATATCTTGGTAAGGTTCAAGGCCTGTACAGGAAAGGTGACCAGATATCATCAGAAGAAGAGAATACAAATTTGTGAATGGGGTATAGTTGCATAACTGGACAAATACAAGCATTTGCTTACCAAATCCGTCTACAAGCAGTGTATACTGATAAACTAAATCCATGCATAAATATGGGAGATTATTATCCTCAACATGTTCATATACAGCTTTTGCATCCGAAAACTTAGTTTCACAAGCATGTTTAGCAGCTTCAGCAAAATTGTGTGGCTGAACTTTTACAACTGGATCACTGGCTTTAACAAAATTAGCCTATACATGCACAAGACAGTTTAGTTAGTGTGGTTATGCAGTCACATAAAATTCTAACTTTGAACATTTCTTTGCAAGTGATAAAATCAAGGTAACCCAATTAAGAACCAGGGTGCTCTGCTAGGGTTTGGCTTTGGCTGGAACATTTCATGGCTTCCTATGTGGAGCTTCTTGGGGTTCTTTTCATGGTGGTAGGTTAATTTTTGTTTCTTTCATTGGTGTTTTTGTTGGCAACTGGTTTCATTTGACTCATTTGATTGTGGTTGGCAATTAGGGTACAGGTGGTAGTGTGTGGTGCTGCTCCTGTCCTACAGTGCAACTAGGCGGAGGCATTGGGTGGCCTGTCACAGTCAGTTTGAGTGGCTTCTTGTTCTGCTATTGAGGGGACTGTTAGTGCCTCGAGATTTCCGTTTGGCTACTTGGTGAGAGTGATCTGGGGCTTGTGGTCATAGGGAATTGTTGTTTGCTGGGATGGTACCATGTCAAGAAGGTGGTTGTGAGAGCTGGTTTGCTGTTGATCCCTAAGGTTTAGGATGCAGCAACTAGTTGGTTTTCCTGAGGTTTTGATTTCTGGCAGGAGAAGATGGCAAACAACCAGAGGTTTGGGTTGTGTGGTTGTTGGGCTTCTAGTGGGTGGCTTGTAGATGATAAGTTTCCATTAGTTGGGGCATGGTATGGCTGTGGCTTGCAGGTGGATGGTGGGATTTTTCTGAGATGTCAGTGGTGTTAGTTGTTTGCGAGGCCAACCCATCTTTCAAGGTGGACAAGGCTGCAATTCCAATGGAGAATGATGGAGTTGTGTTTTTTATTTTTCAAGTGGGAATGAATGTTTTTGAGTAGGAACTTTGGTTTGCTATGGTATGGGTAGTATTATGGCAACATGGTGCCCCCAGCAATGAGTTAGCATTGAAATCTATCTCTTTTTGCTTCTATATATTGGCAACTCTAGAGGCTATTTGCAAGGATGGGTCCTGTCATCCTCCTTTGCCACTATTGATTTTATTAATAAACTGTATTTTTAAAATTAAAAAAAAAAAAAAATGAAGTAAAGGTGGCAATACCTCAGCAGCCCTGTCAAAGAAAAATGAAGCAACAAACAAATGCTTCTGTCCATCACCACCTCCACCATTCCACACACCACCAAAAGTGCATTTCATATGTGTACACGTTTGATTAATCTTGAGAGCATTGAAAGCTAGTCTCCTGCATTCTTCCATGCTTGCCCCAGCAGGAGAAGATGATGCTTTATATTCCACCACCCCATATTTGTAAGAACCTATTGAATGGGGAAATTATCAGGTATTGAGTTATGCATTCCACTAAACAGTTTCAGAGTAAAGAAATTCTTCATCATAACATTTTCTCATTGAGTTTTAGAGGATCAAAAATATGTGTAAGAAGTACCAACAAGAATTTTGCCAGCTTGGTGCTGTCTATTATCAAAAACAAGAGTCAAGGTCAAGGCTTCAAATCTATGCAATATCTAAATCACTAACTTCCTCTCCCTATACATATATAGTATAGAGATCAAATTGTTTTGAGGAAACTAGAAAGCTAACTGCTTCTATAGGATATATTTTTGGCAAATGCATAAACCCCTTTCCCCTGATGTGCCACACTCTAAATCCAGAATTATTTGCACTTGGAAACAAGAATATTAACCAAGAAGAGAGAACAACATTCCCTATCATTCCACAAAAGCATGGAAACAGCAAGCAGATTGAAAAGGTAAACTTGCTATCAATATAACATTTTCAAAACCAACATACCATGATAACCAGCTAAGATGCATGGGTTGCTAGAATCTTCAGAGATCTTCAAAATTTCTGCTCTGGCTGCTAACAAGCCATAGTGCAAGTAACTGCTTGCAAAACATGACAAAAGTATTAATATAAACATTTTGTAATACCACATAGCACAAAAAACTTAGAGAAACATCCGGAACCAGCCAGCTGCTAAAATAAATCATGTCACTAAATGTCTTTCCTCAATACTACCTGTGAACATAAAGATAGTATTTTGTTCCTTTTAGATACATTTCCTTTACATAAGTGTCTTCTCCTTCTGATGCCCTGGGAGCATTCGCTGCGTCTGATTCAGCAATTGCATATGCCATTTGAACAGATCCACCACCAAGATCAACTACTCCTACAGTATTAGAGTAAGACTTTCCCAAATTCCCTAATAGGTAATTAATTGTTACCTGCAAAACATGAGCACGGTTGAAAAAGAAAATATTTCCTTGAATCAGTAAGAAATAATGGAGAAAAGATCCCAGTCTTCCATTTAATATATTCATGTATGAAAAAATCTGAAACACCATCTTTATCCCCACAAACTCAATCAATGCTCTCACCAAGCTGTATATAGCCTTGTCATAAAGAATATATACTAAATAATAGGCATGTGTATCAATCTTGGATTGAATTGAATGAGATCAAAGCGCTGATATCTACTTTTTAGTAGCAAAGCAAAGGACGCACTAAGGATCCAGAAGCAAAAGTACAGCTACCAGAGGAGAGGGTAAGAGACAGAGAGGATAAGGAGGAGGTCCCACCATCCTTTTCTCGCCCAAACAAATTTCTTTTATTTTTAAGAAAAAGAACCTTTTAAGGACTTCTTATTTTGTCAAAATGGGATTACTAGGAAAGACCTCTGCCTATAATGGTCAAATTTAGTAACAATAAAATAATGAAAAATTGAATATGATCCTTAACCCCCACTTTTGGTTTGAGGGCAGGGGAGAGGAGGGGAGTCAATATCCCTCAATTTCCCTTCATTGCCCTCCCCTCCCCTGCCCTCGTTTGGTTATGTCAAAATTATAAAAGAAAATAAAGGAAAAGTCCTCCCATCCCCTCCCCTCCCATCCCCTCCCTTACCTCAAACCACAAAAAGCTATAAGGAAAGGGAGGATAGTGGTGTTGCATGCAATCGGACACCTTATATTGTTGGATTGACATAATCTCTCAATAAACAAGCCTAAAACTTCCAGCTTATTTATCAGGAAGAAATAAACATTAAAAGTAGATCAGAGGGGGAAACTCTCTGCTTAGGTTAAAACTGAAGGGCAGCGGGCTAAACATTTTAAGGATTTTGAGCATGTTCTATGAAGGATAAGCATTAGACTAATCTAAGCAAAAGGAAGATAGTAAGATACCTCTAGCAGGCAGACCCCTATAACAGAAAACCAAAAGGAGGAGTAAGTGGAGGAAGAGGAGACATTTTGCAGGCTAGCAACAGCATGAATATCAACATAGGTACTTTTCAGGCCTAAACCATAAAGATATATCAATGTGGAACCCGGTATGACATACCCACTGATAAGAACCTTCTTGTGAGCCATCCAGAATGATCACCCCATCTGATTTCAAGGTGCTTCGATCTTTCAGAAGTTTCCTAACCTTAAGTTAAAATTAAAAAAATTCTTAGCCTATGGAAACAATAGAATAAAGTTAGTGAATATAAGCATGCTTAAAAATGATAATTACTGCTTCCAAAATTTTGTCAGAAGCATCTCCTTCTAATGCCCTCAAACCAGCAGTTGCCTATACAACAACAAAATCACTTTTTATCATTTCGAGAATAAAACTATTATGAGACTGCAGAATGCATCTTAAATGCTTGATTCACTCACCCCAACTCTGACAGGAGTCCTCCCTCGCAATTTGAGCGGCACAACACTTTCAGCCTTGTCAAGAAGAGAAAGCAAGGAATCTGCTGCAGCCCGTGGATCCTTTGCATAAAAGCTCAATCCTGGTTTGATCTATAACAATAATAACCAGTGTAAAGCCAAGCAACTAATAAAGAACCAGACTGTACGATCCATAATCTCAAAGACATATTGATTCTCTAAAACATGAAATTCAAGTCACTTTCAACTCCAGAGAATACTAAGTATGATACAGAAGTAAATAACAGCAAAAAAAAAAAAAAAAAACCATGTAATTCAGAAATGCCAGCACTAGAATTGAAGACTGCAGCGTTTGGATACAATGCACTTAACGAAACTGTAATAAGAATACCTGCTCGAAAATCTCGAGATCATTCCCAATGGGAACAAGATCCAAATTGTGATCGAAACAGAAGACGTGCACTCTAGTCCCAGAACTCCCCGCATCAAAGATAACCGCATAGTTCCTGTTCCCCCGCGAGAACAAGTTGACCTTCCGGTTATTGTTATCCCCGAACCCATTCACTACATCGGAGGGCGACCGGCCTGGCATAACGAAGAGCACAAAGGTGATGAGCAACATAGGCACCGAGATCACAAGCAACAGTCCCCGGTACCTATGGATCTTATCGGAAAGAGAGTCGTGCCGACCCATGTGGCGTTTGGTCATCTTATCAATCTCCCCAGTGGGCGAGGAAGGGGTGGCAGCGGAGCTAGTAAGGCCGGTCTCAATGAGCTCCGCCGAAGAGGGTGTGCGGTACCGGATCTGGCCGTTGCCGGCTGGAGAAGCGGAGGGCTTGAGGGACTGAGAAGGATCCTGCAACGACTCCAGATCGTCGGATTTAGTTCTTGGTTTTATAGGAATGGTCGGAGGAATTTATGAATGATTGAGAATTGTTGGAAATGTTGATCATGTGCTGGGCGTGAAAGATAATAGCGGAAGATTGATAGAGGTTTATGGCTAAGTGGGGGGTTTTCTGTTTGCTTGAGAAACAAAATTTACAGACAAATTAAATGAAAGTGGAAGCGGTTGAAAAAAGAAAGAAAACAAATTAGAAGGAAAAAGAAAAGAAAAAAAAAAAGGGACTTCGTTAATTGCTGCTTTCTTACATTTACTAACATTTATAATTTCAGAGGTTTAGAAACATTCATAATTTCAGAGGTTTAGAAACATTTATACTTCCAGAAGAAAAAACTCTTCAAGTATAATTAAGTCCTTCAAATCTTTTAAAAAATTCCTTAAAATCATGTTAAAGGGATAAGTAAGTATTTGTCTTCTATTTTACAACTAAAATTATAAATATTTTAAGAAAATAATTTTAAAATATCTCTCACTCTTAAAAAAAAGTGGCTGTGTTAATTTTAATTCAATTAAATTAAGAGTTTAGTTAAACATCTTAATTTGATTAGATAAAAGTTTTTCCTTTCATTTAGTTACATTAACAAATAATATGATCCTCATCCTCAAATCAAGCATACTTTTAAGAAATATTATTGAATATTTACCCAATAAATGTTGGTTTCGTAAACAAAAGTTTTATTTCTTTTTTTATTGATCAAGGATTGTTTTTATAAAAATCAATAAAAAGATAATTTTTTATTAATTTCCTATCTCAGCTTAGATGACATGACTTTTGATAATCTTGAATTTGCTACCATGGACAAAAGAGAAATTTTCATTGCACAAATTTGACTTAACTACGAAAACCTTGGGCAGATTTGACTTAGCCATGGGAAACCTATAAACTTACAGGTAGGCGAAAGGAAAGCTTACTAGTGTATGCGCCAAAGATAGCCTTGACGTATGCACTAAAGATGGCTCTAATGTATGCACTATGACGCTCAACTTAGTAATATTTCAGTGGAAAATAAAGAGAGGAGGAGAGAAAATGGAGGAAAATGGTGTAGAAGAGAGAAAATCACTTTTGAGTTCAAGAAGATCCTTTTTATAGTAGTGAGGTGGTCTCTTTTGTTAAGGACAAAAACCTGTTAGTCCATATAGTTGTTGAAGTTTTACTTGCGAAAAGTTACAATGGCAAGTATGATTACCAGAAGAAAAGTACTATGTGGCAAGAAAACAAAAAAGGTTCATCTTACGTGGCCCTCTATCTTTTATTTCTTTGTCTTAATCACCAAGTCATATATCTTAAATAAATAATTCCGATACCTTAAACATTACCTAGATTTCATTTTAAACAATTTAACTATTCAGTTCTTAAGTGCTTCTTTCTAAAGTCATAAAAGTTAAGATTTGATTCAATTAGGTCAGTTCCCTTTCTAAGAACTTTTCTAATCATACCTAAAGTGACATCAAATCTCTTTCAACTATGACCTAAATTCACATGGATGAATTGGATTATGTCATATGTAGGGAGTATTTTACTTAATATCACCTTTAACTAAAAGACATAAAGAAATTAACTTCAAAATGAATACAAGTTGCACACTTGATCATTTAAAAAGAAAAGAAAGGGTTGTACACAACCTAAACCGTTTGACCAAATAAAAAGAAACCAACTTTTATAACCCAAGTGATAGAGTGAATGGAGGGTGATCCCTCCACCCACTCCACCAAACACCAGACACCAGTGTTCTAGACCCTTTGTTGTCCCTTACTGCCTTCCCCAAGTCCCCCCAGTTTCCCATGTTAGGGTAAAAAAGAAATCCTTCTCCCATGTGAGCAACAAAGCTAAACCTTTATGTTCATTGGAAGATATACGGCACCAATTTCATGGTTGTGCACAACCAAAGCAAAGCCTTTATGTTCATTGAAAGATATACGGATACCTTTATCCAAACAAAAAAAAAAGATATACAGATACCAATTTTATAGCGTTAGAATCGGAGAAAATTTTGACCCTTTGAATATCCCATATGCATAAGGGAAATACTATTGGGACAATCATTTTGTTTTATTGTTTTGTATAATTTGAAGTATCATTAAAATGATTGATTCTTTTAATTCATGTAGAACCTATGATATTGAATGTATCAACTCATTTAACGACATATAGAAATTGTGTAAAAATGTGGGACAAAAAAGTTGTCCCAATAACACCACCTTATGTATAACCAAAACTAAAATTTAATGTCCATTGAAAGATATATAGATACCAAATCTGAAAATTTTGACCCCTTAAATATTGGCATTCAATTTTCACCTACTTTATTGTTTAACGTGTGTCATAAAAGTATATGTTAAGAATACGTTTAATATATTTTTTTATTATTAATTCATATAAAAAATAAAATTAACTTTAATTTTATTAATTATTTAATTAAAACATTTTATATAGTATTGGTGTTGAAAATAAAATTAACTTTTATAATTTTTTTATATAAATTAATGATAAAAATACAATAAACACACCTTTAAAAAGCACATGTTAGAAAAAAAAAAATTTTCCTCTATGCTAGATTGTATTTTAACATTGCCACTTTTATTTTGATATTCAAGCATTTGGCCTTTTAAATAATGTGTTTAGTGTAATACAAGTCATCCTTTAGATTTTTTTTAATTAATATTTTCAAAATCCAAGTATTAAATTGAAAATTCTATTTATGTAAATTATACAAATCAATTTTCATATTAATCTAACATTTATAATCCTTTTATTACAAAAACTCTATTTATTGATATATAATTAATTATGTTAAATTTTAGGTAATTAATGAAGTAGGACCTATCAAAACAATATAAAAATTAACATACATGATATATATAAATAAAACTCTTAATCTAACAATTAATTTTTCAAAATACTAATTAAAAGATAAAATTTTAGTTGTCTTTTAAAACAAATTTGAAAAAGGACATGCAAAACACTTTTTTGTTAAATAATAAAGTTCATTTTTCATATACTTTAACAAAAAAGAAAAAGAAAAAAAGAAATAAAAATAGATTTTCATGATGTTGGAATGTATCTCAACCATGCCACTTTTATTTTGATATCCAAGCATTCCCACAAACTAGGTACATTTATTTCATTTGTTTAGGGAAGAAGCATATACTTCTGCTGTGTCTCTGCAGATTATGATGGTACGTATAAAATACTGCAAGGGTAATTATATTCTCCCAGAATACATGCACAGAGAGAAGCAAAGCTGGCATGAACTGAATCTTTACTTGTTGAGTCCAGAGAAAGAAAGTTGCAAGACGAGATCCAACAAGATGAAAATCAACAAGACACAATACAAAAGCAGTACATAAACTTCCATTCACACTACCCTTTTAAATATCCACAAAGAAAAGAAAGTAACATAAACATGTAAATATCCACTAGTGTTGTGGAGGGACAAATTAATTAATTGATTTTCACTTACGCTTTCTTCTGCTTCGGTGCAGGCGGGGAAAGAAAATCCGGAAAACCCAGGCAGAGATGCGCCTATAAATGGGGTAATCCAATAAACATAGAGGTGCTCTGGTGTGTTGTGCCTTCTATTTAAATATGCCCAGCCAAATGCCTGAAACACAAGACGAGGTGATAAGTCAACATGAGCTCAAGCTCGGTTTATAATTTAAGGAGTGAAGATTGAAAATTTTTGCAGTTCGATTTTAAATTGAATCAAACTATAAAAAATAAATTAATATGGAGACTTATTTTAATAAATGATTCATATTGTATAATTTAATATAATTTTAACTGCTAAAACTTTTGTTATAAAAATTGCAAATAGAATTTTTCAAAGGAAATCGTGTATCTTCTTAGAATTAGAAAATCTAATGTAGCAAATTAATTTTTAAAAAAATACCCAATACATATTCCTTTAAGTCCCAAATTTCAAAACTACTTCTTAATTTTAGGTCAAGTCAAACACCCGAATTCTCGGCCCATATTTTCTTTGAAGTCTAAACCCCTAATTTCGCAACTCCTTCCCTCATCGCAGAAAATCAGTTTGCAGTATTCAACTTCCTAAATCCCTAATTTTTCTCAACTCTACTCCCTCGTTTACCGTCTACTTTCCTTGTTTCTCCACCAGTTTTGGCCACACTTCACCAGGTTCCCATCATATTATTTAAAATGTCTAATTATTTATAATAAAATACTTTCATATATAATTAAAAAAAATGTATCTATCCAAAAAATAAAAAGTAAAATCAATATCACATTAACTAACAAAATAAATAAGCCATGTAAATTCTGTGTTAATAATAACTAATTTTTAATTGTGTATCGTGTCAAATTACGAATACAATTCTAGTTATGCCTCAAATTGCGAGGCACTTTTCCTTGTTTCTAGATCAAATTAGAAATAGAAAACAGACTGGAATAAAACAGGCCTAAGAACAAACATGAAAGTGAAACACTGCAATATAAAGAGTATTGGCAACTTACAGTGACAGGATTCATGGAAGGCCGGTATAGTCAATGCCAGACATAACCAAGACTACCATTACAAGAGCGAGCAACCATGCCTGCAATATTACATTACGAGGACCCTTAACAATAATGGAAAGGCATGCAAAGGTAATTAGGAAAGTTAACAGCCCCTCTGCAAATGCTCCAGTGTGCACATCCACTTTCAAGGATGGCCCCCCAACTATGTCTCTGTATTGCACCGGTATCGCCTCCATGATCGCAAGGGCGCCAGCTACAGCACCTGAGCCTGTAATTAAGAAATTCTATGGTAATTTCTGTACCAAAGGAGCTTACTTTAATGGTAAACGGGCATTCGGCATTTCAAATTAATATGATTCTTTTCACGTTCAAATTTGTATTCATCAGGAAAGGATTCCTTTAAAAAAAAAAAAAAGTAAACAGAACAATCTATAATTTATAGTTTGTAAAAAGAAAAAGGGTAATCGGCCCTCAAAAATAGTAACAGAACGTCCCTTCAATGTTTTAAAATCAAATGGGCTCTAAACACCGTTTGGTTTCATTTCGTTTGCTTTCCCATCCCTTCAATCCAATCCAAGAACAATTGAAAGGCATAAAAAAGATATAAAAAAGGAAAGAAAAAGGAAGGCTAGAGAATAAAGGTTGGGAAGAAAAGAAATAAAAGCAGTTCGCACTCAGAGCAACCTTCTTAATAAATAAGAGGTTAAATTTCTGGAATGATCTTAAGCCATTTTCATCAAAGAACTTTTTTCAGACTGGAAAACGATCCTTAAACATATTTTTCCAACCCCAGTTTTGTCCTTCTAATAATTAAAGACATGCACATGTGGGATGTTAGCTCTCTAAAAATTGCGTTTCTTTTAATTTCAAACAAATCATGATTTGGGTTCTAAAAAACCAAAGGTGAAAAAAATTCAAATGAAAAACAGAAAAATTAAAACATAATAAAATAAGGAACAATCCACCCACATTTAAACAATAATAAAGAACTCAACTGGAATTAAATATAATAAAGATTCGTGTTCACTAATCAAGAATTAATCAATAATTGGTTAATTTGTGCTACTATGACATTTTTTAATAATGTTCATTAATCAATAATTAATCAACAAATATGTTTTTTTTTTAGCAATTTAACGGTTTCATGTCATATTTAATTAACAAAATGACTATTTTGAGTAAAAAAAAAAAGAATGACGACCATTTTACTGTCAAACAAAGTTGAGGGACCAAATCAAGATATAATTGAAAGTTCAGGGTTAATTTTTGGACATTAAACCTAAAAGGAACTACCTTAACTGTCGGACAAGGCACATAAAAATATACTTAAAAGATTCCAGTACGCAAATGAAATTACACAACAAAAAACGAGAATTAAGGATTGTTTTTTTCTGTTGCCAGTGAGATTCAAGGATTAGCATGAAAGAAATAGGATTTGTGTTTCTTTTACCATTAAGTTAGATGGTGAGGATGCATTAATACATAATATATCAGAACCATAATGATTTTTTTTTTTTGGTTTCCCATCCGCCGGTATCCGGGACTTCGCCCTGGCTAATCCGGATTGACCCACGTTGCGCACCTGGAAATGATGGGTGAGTCTCCAAATGAAAACTGCTGCGTACACAAGGTCTCGAACTCGAGATCTTTCTTAAACTGGAACAAACCGCTTACCACTTGATCCAACCTCTCATTGGTAAACCATAATGATTTATATGAAACAGAAAAAAGTGTTTTTTAAGATCAGATAATATTTTTAAAGTGTAGTTAACTATTAAAATTATTAAAATATTTCAAAAAATATTCTTTTAAGTCTTTTTTTTTTATTAACCTTTCAGTATCTTGTAACCATTTTGGGTCTCGACTAATCAAGAATCCAGCAGCGTCGATCTTATTAGGGGAAGCTCTCCTAGTGCCTGTTTCTCCATTCACTCAAGATCTTATTTAAAAGGAATCGAATTACTTCTACTCGAACCAACAAGTTGTTGGTATTCTTTTAAATCTATTTATTAAAAAGTAACATAGTAATATAGTCATTTTTGAGTTAGATTGTAAGTTATAATATCACATGAGTTTAATGATTAGTTTTCAAATCTTAATATTTAAATAGGATGATTGAACGTTTGAGACCTACCAATCACTTAAATATTCACTACTGCATCCATTCCCTTCCCCTTCCCTTGTAATTCCCCTTGTTAAAAGAAAAAAAAAATGTATAACTTTTAGGCATACACCTGAGCTGGGAAACGGAGGGCCATGGTGATCAGGGAATGACCGTCAAGCCCCGCGGCGTAAATGGAGGCGTTTCCCGTGGGATTGTAGCTGGCCCCGCCAAGGGCTTCAGCAATTAAGTTAAGAATATGTTTGGTTTAGTTTTCAAATATTTTATCTTTTAATATTATTTATATTTTATAAGTTAAATTTTTTAAAAAAATTTTTATATTTTTAAATTTTTTTAACTT